TTTACTACGAAACGGCTGATTTTTCAATAAATCCCCCGACAAGAGGCAACGCACTTGAGCTTCGCCTCTACACAGCCAATAATGTGAATCGATAACGATCGCTTTTATCAACTTAGCAAAAATATTTGAAAAACTACAATATAGTTATATTGTCAGATCTACATTACTAATGTGATTTTCCACTGCGAAACTCTGGTATAAAAAAGTTGTTATTCGTGCTCTTTGAACACAGACAATAAAAGTTTTTTGCGGATAGCAAATACTTTTTTTTGCTGATTTCAAATTAGAGAATTAAAAAATAAAATATTAACCAACAACTTAAAGCAAGACGTATTTTTAAAATAACATATATAAGTATGATTAATACATTACCACCACTATTTTATACCTAAAATAACAAACAGAAAACCGATATTTAATATGTCAGAAATATATGATCTGTAATTTAAATAAATTGCAAGAAGTTAAGATATACAAAATATGTGTTTCATGCAGCATCAATAACTACACGCGATGTAGACAACCAAAACAATAATCGCTATGTCTCATTTTTAATGTTATAATATAGTGAGGTAGTGAAACACATCTGTGTATCATAAGTCATCAGAAAAAGATATCGTCACAAACGATAAAGCTAATGCTGATATTATGATGGAAATGTATGCATTTCTGGAGCCTCTAATTTTTAGCAAACGACCCTCCGGTTCACGAAAGATTAACCACCGTCATCGTAGATGTTATTAACATGACAGAGGACTACAGCATCTGCGACATTATGGAATCGAAAAATTAAAATAACTTAACTTTTTGAATAGTCTTTTATATAAATAATGTAATTCATCCCTAAAATAAATCACATATTATTAGATTTTACACATATTAATGGCAGCAAATCTAATAAAGACTACAGGTTTTCTTCATTAAATGCATATCAAATAGTAACAATAAATTATAGGCACTATTTGGATGAAAATACAATTAACATAAACATATTCCAAAAAAATATTAAAACGCCTTATACGTCCAAACTTCAAGGATTAAAAAGTGTATTTCATACGTCGCTTTCGTATCTGTATTAATAAGTCGTTGTTTTGCATATTTTATTAATCACCATTGTTGTTCTGTCCCCACAAACGATATACAAACGCGGGCCCTAACGGATTTATTAAGATACCGTCTCTTTGACATGTTGCATTTTATAAAATTTAAATAGAGCGATTGTATGTTACTAGTTACACAGGTCGTTTACCTATACGATAGCTTCTTATAATTCAAGTGATATTTTTTGTTGTCCATCAAACAATAGGAGCTCTTTGCGTTGATGCGACTTCGGAGTACACAAGAAGTATCTTGTCCATTGTCATCCAAATGCACAACCGGATTTTGACCTGAGCTATTCATTTAAGAGAACTTAATTATACAGGTTCAGGCACTTCAACAAATGATCGATACAAATGAGTTTAATTTTATAAACCATTTTTTTTTCGATAAATGAATATATTTTTTTTAATTTGTTGTGAATTGTACTGTTGGATGTTTTTTAGTGGCGATAGACACATCTTTGTCAGCTGCTATTCGTCTATTGCCGATCTCATAAATCTTTTAGTACCGATTGCTTGGCGGTCATTTCGATGTAGTCTATCTTAAGTAGCTCTTAGACTACAATCTGATTGATTGTAGTGTAAGAGCCGTTGTTACACTCTTTTTATTTATCTAGTTTCGAAGTCGGTTGAAAAAATCGATGTAAACAAATATATTTTGTAACAATATTCCGCCGCGGTTGGATCTCTAATATGTAAAACGTGTTGTAAATCAACGCAAACTTGAGAGATCTGGCTGCACATTGCTCATAGAGGTGACAGCGATTTGCGGACGGAATACTAATATAGTAAAAAAAAACAAAATAAGTTCTTACGAAGCTCACAGTTACAAAGAAGATAATTTTTAAGACCGTTTCAAATTAAACGTAGGTGTATTAAACAAAAAATTAAAATAAAGTTTTTATTACGAAAAATAAAAAGATTTTTAACTGACGACACAAATAATAAAGCAAAATATTCGACTAACTAATTTAGTTAGAAAATATCGTTCTGTATTTTCTATATATAAGAATGTTTTATACCTTACAATCAAGAAAAAGTCGAAAAAGTAAATGTATATATTTCATTTTACATAAAGTTAAAAAGATGTTTGCCCCAGTCCTCCGACAAAGTTGAAAAGTTCAACGAAACTTATCATAGTTATGACAAAAAGTATCGCGTGTCTGCGGTTCAAATTGTACCCTGAAAAGTATTTTTATACTGTTCTTAAATACATTTTCCCATCAAGACATATTTTAACAACTGAACGAAGAAACACAATACGTTAAATCAATCGTTATATATGTACTCAAAGAGCAAGTAAAAAGTTATATTAAAATACAAAAGATATTAGAAAATTAATTTTACAACTTTTTTAAGGCCTCTATCAAATCACAATACGTATAATGATCATATTAACACTTAAGTTACAAAAGATTTAAATTTCAAAGTCTGGCAAAAGTTCCAGTGGCACTAATCAATTGTGTTAACTTCGGGCCGACTGTCCCAGTTAACAGGGAGTGCTTGCGACGAGCAGTGGACATGTCACGAAGTAGCGAGGACAATTCGGTAATAAGGGCCACCCTGTACCTGGCGCAGCTAACTTATTACCAAGCTTAATTTATTTGCCAACCTTACTTTGTATCTATTACATGCCGGGCAAAAATATTTTTAATTTTTTTTATCAATCTCTTTATAGTATTCATTTTTTACTTAATTACAAATGCTTCTTTGTTTCAACAAAGTTTAATTTTATTATTTATGTTGCGGTAAGATCTTAAAATTGGTCATTTCAAGATGTGGCTTTTTGCAACAAAAAATATTTTAATTAATAATTGCTTACGCGAATAAATTGTTGGACAGTTTTTGCGTACTTATAAAATATGCAGTTCTTTTTATTAAGAGGTAATAGTTAGATACTGGATTTGATAAAAATGTACGTTGAATTTACGTGAAGAACGCGTATAAATTAGATTTGGTAGGCTAGCGTATTCTCTTTATGTAACAATGTTTATTAAAAGCTTTCGGAGCTGGGGCCGCGGAAGTAGCTACCACCGATGTAAGTCTTTTAAGTAAAAAATAGCTATTTACTTATATATTAAGATGTATACTAGCTGTCGCCTGCAACTCTGTCCGCGCGGGATTGTAAAAAAACGAAATTAGAGCCCTGTGCGTTTTTCCATCCAAAAATATTTATATGTTTTATATTAGTAAGATTAAACTAGTAGAGGCTGTACTCTGTTACAGTCTACTTAACAATAAGAATAGAAAATCTGACAGCGATTTTTTTTAACAATTAGCAAACTAGAGTTTCTCATAAACCTGAACTTATTAATGCACGTCTAGAAATAGACGTTAAAATGACCTGGACAGTCTGCAAACGAGATTTGCCGCGACCTAACTGTAACTTTGAACTCTATTTTTAAATGGACAGTTTTTCGTGGAACCAAAAATTTCGTCCTTAAATCGTTGAATGGTTTTTTACCACTGATTTTATAAAATACCGAGATCGCGCAGTTAATAAGAAATCTGAGACAAACAGAATTAGACTAGCGGTTTGTGATTTTGAAGTTTAAAGACTTCGTAGTTGCGTACATAACGTAATAAAATTAATTTCTTGTCGGCCATGATGGCGCCCACGATGTTAAATGTAAACCGATGCTGACGGCATGTTCTTAAATAAATCACAACACACAGCTCGCCTCGATCTCAATTGCAGGCTTAACCACAATAAAAATTATCACTACCTAATGTCCGTATGTAAATCTGAATTCAATCAATCTTACTTCTTACTAATATATGGATATATCCAATCTATGTTCGTTAGAAGATATCTCCGGAACGCCTGTCTGGATCTTTGTAATTTGGCATAGATGTAGAACAGAGCCTGGAAGGACACATAGGTTACTTATTAAGTTTCTTTAGTTTCGCGCGAACGGGATCGCTGGCGATAGCTATAGTGTAATAAAAATATCGATAAAAACTTCAAATTTATTTTCTTAAAGAAGAGAAGGAAGGAGCTTGCATTGTACTGGTTGGTTCACTTGGTTACGCGCGCTCGGAAACTTTACATTTGCCTATTTAGTATAAGCACGATAAGTATATCACGTAGACTTCGCGAGGCCTGAATTTTAAATATTGCGAAGGTGTTTCAGAAAATGTTTATGCCCAGGATAAAGTGTTAGGGAAATCGGCGTGAAAAGGCAGGTTTTTTTCTCCTTTATTGTCGGATAGCGAGAACTTGTTTGAATGTCTTTTACGTGATCATGTTTTGGCGTCGAATTATCATAATTTGTATTTTCTCCAAACATGTGCTTTGTAATTTTTTTTTTTCACAAACACAATTATTGTTAATCATATAAAATACAAATATAATAATTGTGTCGATAATTACGTAACTTTTAATAAGATCCGTAATTAAAGAGTCCAACTACAAAGTTTTCAATTTAATTCCATGTTAATAAAAACTTAAGGCTTCTAAATCAATACAGTCCGTTTTGGGGTGGACATGAAATAAATTACCATTTCTCGTCTACTTAGCGTGGTATCTCTAGTTTCTTTTAGGTCGGGATACAAAGATGGTCTTATATTTACTGGTTTCCGTGAAATGGAACAAAACACCAATATATGTAGAGAGACATCTAGCGGTTACAAAAGTAACATTAATGTCAATCTGTCAATGTTGTAAAAAACGTTTTCAATTACACATCCACAAAATAGATGTCGCTGTTTTTTGTAAAAGATCATGGTAGCTTATACATTGCAGATTTTAACTGTTTAAATTAGAAGACGGTAGCAACAAAACGTTACAAGATTACTAACCGCGAGACATTTTTGTTGCAATTTAATTCGGTTGATTTTGAAAATCGAATAAAAGGGGTTTAAGGGCATGTTTATTTATTTGAATTTGTTTTATTTTAGAAACATGTGGTGCTGATGACTTCCGTTGCTTCGATGGGCGGTGTATCGAAAGCGCAAGGGTCTGTGATCGCGTCGCAGACTGCTCAAGCCAAGAAGACGAACAGAATTGCGGTAAGTTTCTTGCAGTATATACGCGATTAATAACGGTCAACGAAACAATTTCTCAACGCATAAATAAAAGTTAACTTTTCTCGTATTGCATAACTACACTAAGCTGTTTATATTTGACAGAAATATAATATTAATAGCTTTTCATTTAATACGAAGCTTAACTAACTTTGTATTGGTGTACAGAATGTCGACCGGACGAGTTCCGCTGCCAATCCGACGGTTACTGTATCGAAAGCAGAAAGCGGTGCGATGGCGTCAGCCACTGCAGCGACAACTCAGACGAAGTAAATTGCGGTAAGGATCATAGGAAATTTCAAAATTATTCGAAAAACAGAAATGCTTTAACGCCATCAAATGTTTTTGCGCATGCTTTACCATTTGGAACGGTAAGTCTCTCGTAATATCAGCTGGACAGGTGAGCATGTGTGTCACACCAGTGGAAGGTTCCTCTGCAAGGACGGTAGCTGCATTTCGATATTACTTCGTTGCGATGGCTTCAGAGACTGCGTTAAAGACGGCAGCGACGAAATCGATTGTCGTATGTATATTTATCAACCCGTAAGATTTTATATGAGCTTAAAGTATGTATGTAATTTGTTCTGTTTTCGTCCATCCGCGAAAATATTCTTTATAAGAAGCTTCGTGCCTATTGTATTTTATATTCTTTGCTACGAGTTCACGAGTACGAGTTTTTCGACAAAATATGTTAAATTATATTTAGAAATCTACTTTAAGCAAATATAAAGTGTAATAATTTGACTAATCCTGCGTAAAGTAAGTATATTTTCAAATAATAATTACGTATAACAAGCATGCGGCCCGGATTTCTGGCAATGTGATTTCGGGACCTGTATCAAACGCAACAAACGCTGCAACGGCCGTGTGGATTGCCCCACAGATAGATCTGATGAAAGGAATTGTTTCGGTAAGATATTAAATATTCAGTCACCTTTTGTAAAGCGTTTCTAAGTATTTGATAAAAATTATCAATTTCAAATTATGCATTTCATTTTTAAATATATTTAATGGGAAATACATAGCATGTTAAATCTTTACAATCATAGGGATTATTACAATGGTTTGCATATATTTCCAGCCACAGAATACTTTAGATGCAGAAATGGGAAGATTTTAGCACAGAGTAAGAGATGCAATCGCAAGTATGATTGCGACCCTGGCGACTATTCTGATGAACAAAATTGTCGTAAGTTTATCAATTCACAAAAGCCTTTCGGATTCTTCAATCTCTATCTACTTTTCAATTGTCTTTGTACAACGTTTCTTCTAACGTTAATCTCGTTATATTTCCTCTTCCTTGTTTCTGTACTTTTGCTCGTATTTTACTTCATTTGTCTTCTTTCATATTGCAATGCACAATTGCCAGCTTTTAGAAGTTAAAAGTTTGTTTCACTTCTCTGCACTGTTTCTTGTCTCTGCTATGACCATCAGTATTTTGTAGTACCTATGACTCAGTTTTTCTGTTATTGTATAAAAAGTTGTCTACTTAGTGTTTTCTTTTGCCGGTCAGCATGTGGTGTCGACGACTTCAAATGCGACAATGGATACTGCATCCCCGCATCCAAACACTGTGACAGAACGCATGACTGTCAAGATCGTTCCGATGAACGCGGTTGCATTTATGGTTTGCAATTATTTAATTCCATCAAAAATTTCATCGAATATGATTTATTTTTAATCGCTATTTTAAATTTGTATTCGTTTAACGGTTGTGAAGAGTAAAAATTTGAGCATCAATAAAGCTCTTAATATGTTCATTATTTCATTAACTGCATATAAAGCTTCATTTGATATATATTTAATATTAACAATAAAAATTAGAATAATATGAAATTACGAATCAATTTTTTGTATCGAAATTTTTATGAAATTTATATAATTTTTTTTACTAATATTATTTTTGCATTTTGCATAAATCCTAACTTGTAAATATATTTGGTTACGGTTTGTGCAATATATATTATTACGGCAGGCACAATATGCATGGCTTATGAATATAAATGCTCGAGCGGACAGTGCGTGAAAGCTGATTCCTGGTGCAATGGAACAAAGGAGTGCAACGATGGTTCAGACGAAAGAAACTGCCCTTGCAAAAGGGACGAGATTGAATGTCGGGATGGTACTTGTATAAATATCGCATTAAGATGTAATGGTCGAAAAGACTGTCCAAATGGGGAAGACGAATATAATTGCGGTGAGTAAAGCTCCTTGGAAAGTGTGGAACAAACTCTTGATTCTTAATTCTCTGTCGAACTATCGTAGTACTTTTGGTATTAATGCAAAATTGTTTATTTAACGTAAGTATTTTTTAAAATAACTTCCTTCATATTCGCCTTTTTAATAATTGCACGTCCAGTTAAATTCGTGGTTAGTATTATGTTGTAACCATTAATGTAGCAGCAGCTGTGGCTTGCATGAACATTACTTGTAGATTAATATTGGGATGCATTTTGTCTGATAAAAAAATTTCGTTGGATTTAACAATTGTGTGACTAATCATAAAAACACATTGGATGAATAAGTGAATCTAATTTGTAATTATTTATGTTTCTTCATTTGACTTCATTATATAATAGTTCTGCGATCAGATCTCCTGGAATAAATATACTCGTCGTAAATACGTTTGTGAATTTTACGTTAATTTTATAAACGAAGTGATGCAACCATTTTATTTTGTTTGATGTGAAGATTGTGGTTGTTGTTTTGTTTCAGATTACATAACTCATTTACTTAATTTTATGGTTTCGTAGTTTTTCATTTTGGTTCTTTCTATGATTTTGTATTTTTCGTTGTTTCTTGGGTTTATATATTTTCAACTTCTTTGTGTTTATGTGGTTGATTTTGTCGCTAATTTAATTACAATTTGTGTTGTATACTTTCGATTACTTTGTGGATTTGTTTAATGTTAGTATTTAGTTTTTGTTAACATTTGTTTTTAATACGATTCCTGAATTTTGGAACACTTTTTTCCTTTGTAATATTATGCGAACACCCTTTATATGTCATCTACCGAATTTTATGAAAATCTTTTAAAAGTGGTCGAAATAGTTTAATCAGCATAATATTCTATAGAACTAATAAAATCACTGTTATGTCGCACTGTACTTCGACGAATTAACTAATTTCGAAGTGCCTTTACTTTAAATTAATATTGATATTGTAATTCAGGTGAGCCGCGTTGTCCGGATGACAGCTTCGCCTGTACTGTGGACTCGAGGATGGGATGCGCGCGCCGCTGCGACGGTAGACAGGAATGTGACAACGGCGAAGACGAACTCGAATGCACTGGTAAATTTAAATCCCATCTATATAATATTCTCTATCTATACTATTCGACATGTATATAATTTGCTCTAATTGTTCAATTATACGTTTAAATCATTGTCTCGTATCTAATATCGAAATTCTTATATTTTAAAATTAACTTTTCGTCAATCTAATAAATTCTTTGATCTTAATAACTCGAACAATTTACATTTTTTTTCGTACATTTATTGTTAATTGTGTATTGAATTTAAAAATGTAGACAAATATTAAAGTTAATCTTATATTAGATTGGTCTTAATTTGTAGAACTTGTTGCGAAAAAGTCTAACTTAGATAATGCTGTGATGCTTGTAATATCGTAAACACTTAGCAATAATAATTAATGCTTTAGCGCTGCGCAATTTTAATCCAAATATTTGGCTTTTTATTACAAAAAAATTTAATGTGTACTTTTAGACGAATGGTTTTTGAAATGTTTTGAGCAAAGCGATTGATATGTCGCAAATACTGATATAAAACAAATTATGCGCACTGATAGAAAAATTGTACTATTAATAAGTAATGCGAATTGAGCAATATTATGAATTGTTAAAAATGCTTTTTATTCATGTTCCTAAATGTTAACTTTCTTACAAGAAATACATACTAAAATCTTATCGATTGCCAATCTTGTTGGTATTTATCAAATATAATATGCCGTATATATTTACGACTTACTCGTATTTCTTTTAAGAATGCAGCCACCAGTGCGACGGCAGATGCTTGGAGGATCATCTTATTTGCAACGGAGTGCCGGATTGTAGTGATTCGTCTGACGAAATGTCGTGTCCCTCCTGCGATAGCCTCGATGACTTCAGGTAACTCAACGACTTAAGCTGTGCTTTAAATGCTGTGTTCTATTTATTATTTGAATGCATAATATGCGAATATTTATACTTAGCATTGCGTCTGATATTGCTGTGCGGTTTTCTCTGCTTGCGTCTTAATTGTGTTACATATCGAATCTTAAATATTGTTGATTTGCCGTAGATGTGCGAACGGCGAATGTATAAATATCGCCCATCGCTGCAACGGCCTAAACGACTGCTCTGACTTCAGTGACGAGAAGGATTGCAATAACACCTTGCCATCAACAGGTAGCTTTCTTTGATTTGTACAATTCTTTTGACTAATTGTCATAATCGGGTTAACTTTTATTATTAGTTAAATCGATCTGAAGATCGTTTGAATTACTTTGGATGGTTGAAATGTATCTAGTACTTATGTAAATCTCTCTGGCGGAATTTAAAAAAAAACTTAATAAGTAGCCTATGTGTTCTTCCTATGTTCTACATCTATACCAAATTTTACCATGATCCGCAGACCCGTTCTGGACATACCTTCTAACAAAATCTAATAAAAAAATTAGTAAGATTACTTAATAGTATATCTATTCCTTGGTAAATTCAACTCCGGCTTATGTAGTATATAAAACTTTTTTTGTATAGATCAATGCAACGACAACCAGTTCCGATGCCAGGACGGCTCTTGCATTGACATCCAGTTCTCGTGCGATGGCAACTTTGATTGTCTCGACAATTCCGACGAAGACAATTGCCGTAAGTTATACGAACAATTTAAATTATTTTCTTTTACTCTAAACATAGTGATAAATTAGTCTGTATTTTGATGGATTCCAATTAGTCTTGTAAAAAATATTAAAAACAACTTTATTCCTTGTGTAAAAAAGAAAGTTATATTTTTCTAGAAAATAATATTAAGATGATATTTCTATAAATTTTCTTAGTTAAAGTAAAAATGTATTAACCATTTAGTATACGAAATGATATTAGAAAGATAAAGCTAAGAACAGTGCACAAATGCGCTTTACACTGCCTAAAAAATGGGTGCTTAAGATTAAAAAAATTACTTGCACATCATGAAGCTTCGCCAATTTTATAAAGCACCTTTTTCACTTTACACCGAAATTAAACACTTTCACAATATAATTGTTTTTATTTATAAATATTTATTTTGCTTAAAAATTGTTATAATTGTCACTTTAGATCACTTTTTTATATTTTCACTATACACGTAATTTGAGAATAAGCGAGAAAATTGTGAAATAAATTCATACATAGGATAGAAAAACAAGATACTGTATTATAACCAGTATTATTTAATAGTTTAAATAATAATAATAAAATTATCAATGAGTATATTAAATATTCTTAGTTAGGATAGAGTATTTAAACGTAGCTCATGTGCAGCCTGGGTCATGGAGCCGCCAACACATCCACCGCCGCCGTGCCACGAATCTGAATTCACGTGTTACGACGGCCGATGCATACCGCATATACTCCGATGTGACAATATATACGATTGCTCAGACTTCTCCGACGAGCAAAAATGTTACCATTCTGGTACAATATACCCCTTTTAACCTTTAATGGAATGTTGTTTGCGTGTAACCATGGTGTTTTATTCCCGAACATCTATAATTTGTTCGAAGAGCTCCTTCCGTTAATCGATTCGTTTGCTAGTTTTTTTTTATAATTTTTCTTAAACTTAATTTAATGGCTACGTGGTTGGATTTGTAGTTATTTGAGTAGGTATAAGGGATTTAAATAATTAGTTAGCACTTTACTGTATTAAAATTATTTCCTATAAAGTTTTCTTTAGCTTTTTGATCCAATAGATTTTGTTGAATTAGATTTAGTTGTTCCGCATGATTTATTCTAGGTAATTTAAATTAGAAGTGATTTTGAATCGTAACTTAAACCTATTTATTTATACAGAGAGAATCAATATTTTTATATTTTTATTTCTCAGTTTCAGCTTGTAAATACCAATTTTGTGGCTTAATTAATTATTTTCATCCATGTAGATACATTTCGAATTTAAGTCACAAAAATATAAGAATTTTCAGTTTGTTTAAAAATGCTATCTAAAATAAAAACTTTTATTTTTAATCTAATATACATTTTATATAAATATATAAGTATATATATATATATATATATATGCATTGTATTAATAATGTATTTATAAAAAAATCACTTTAATGTATCCTAATTTCATTAAAACTGAAATAGATTTATAAAAGTTATTTTCTTTTTATTACAATTGATAAATCAGTTAAGTATAATTATTAATTATTTTATAATATTCTAGCTTGCAAAGAAAACGAATGGCAATGCACAACTGGCCAGTGTGTTCCGTTCCAAGCGCGCTGTGACGGTACAGTGGACTGTACTGATGTATCCGACGAGCAAGACTGCGTCACTACAACTTGGATCCCTCCCATACAACCGCAGACCACAACACGTGCACCCATAGTCACAATCCCACCGTCTGTATATGCACCTACCACACGATACCCCATCCGCGATCCTTATGAACCTTCCACTCGTCTACCTAACCTGTACCCAACAACATTTAGACCAGGACTAGACTTCCCTAGTGGTGGATCCTCAGGATCAGGTACTGTTTATTTAATTATATTTAATTATTAAATATAACGGTTCACAGTCAATCTACACTATGGGACTGATTCAATACATTTGAAGAACAAGTATAGCGATAAATATTTTTTCAAGTTAAATATTTCAAAATATTTACTTATTTTATGAGTAGCCACTTTGAAATAATTTTATAAATATATTTAAATTTTATAATTACATGAACGATTATAAATTGACTAAAGGTATTAATTGGCTTTATGGGTGTGCAAAATTTTGAATAGATGGGTGCGCCTCGAATCAATGGCGCTGCGAAAACGGTCCTTGCATTGATTCTCGTCGACGTTGCGACGGTCGCGTCGACTGTCCCCGGGACAGCAGCGACGAGCTAGACTGTCCATCCGACAGTAAGACCAACCAACAAATATCAATGCTTCTATTAAAATTTACTTATAAACTGATCAAAATGTTTACTAAGCAAAAGCCGTCGATAAACTGACTTCAATACGATTAAACATACATTAATAATAATTTTTCTATTAACTGCATGTTATCTCTTCCTTTGTTATAACATCAAATGTTTAAGAATTATAGGAAATTAAAAAATAAAGATGAGCCAAGAGAGCGTTAAACTTTCCCTCAAAGCATAGTTTTGTGGTAAATTTTATTATAAATAATTTATAATAATTAATCCGAGTTCTGGTAAATAAAATCGAATAATAAAATTTTATTGTATTCCTAACGCCATCTGTTAGAGAATTATAAAACCAATAAGATATGTATGCCATTTTCGTAATATGAACATAAACATTTTATTTTACAAATTATAAAAGGGCAGAAAGTATTACGAGCCCTCTTAAAGCGCCGCTTTATGCTAGTAACAAACCAAACTTTTAACGTTTTTAATAAATGCTTATAATACTATTTTAAGTTTTTTGTAAAAAAATAAGCAGTTGTAATTTCGACATGATTACTAACTGTCTGTTTGACTGCAGACACATGTAAGACAGATATTGTTGTCTCAGTTTTTGTAATGAGAATGTGAAAGATGACGATATGTGTCGACACATGTATCAAAGCAGTGAAAACTTACAATAACATTCATCGGCAGAGGACTAATGTAATATTTATAATAATTTTTATTTTAAATTGATTCATTTCGGAAAATCAGGTAAGGAGGTTTGTATACGATGCTTACGCAGATAAAACGTGGTGGACGTTATTTCTGATTGTATCGAAATTTATTAAAATTGAAAATGTCTTTCTAGGACGAGATTATACTTCATTGAATTTGAAGACATACCCGGAGAGTCAGACCATACGCAACGGTAAGTTATCAATCTATATAAAAGAGTAAACTGACTGACCCAACTATCAACGCACAACCAAAGTGGCTGGATCTAGATACTTGAAATTTTGCATAGAGATTTCTGTTGATATGAAGGCATCAACTAAGAATGGATTTTACGATATTTACCCCCTAAAGGTCCAAAATAGGGGTCCAAAGTTTGTATGGACCAATGGTAATCCTTGTGCAGAATTTCATGTCTTAGTATTACAATATTTGTAATAACAATTTGTTTTTCTGTCAATCTTATACTTACGTTTTTAAAGATTGGTGAGTAGGTTATTTTTTTTATTTTGTAATTAAAAACAAAAATATCTTCTAAAATATTATTTTTTAAATCCTATAATTGGTGGAGGGCAGCGGACATGTTTAGGTACAACAAATAAGAATTAAATAAGATTTTAGTAACACATTATGATTTAGTTATTAATTGAAATTATTTCTTCCATGGTGGTGGTCAGCCTACACTGGTGAGTCGAGTGTAAAAAATACTTGGGTGCATTTTAATTGGATTTATACATTTTCATTTAACTATTAAATCATTTTTTTTTAAAGGATGTGTTTGATTAAGGGATTAATTTATTAAATATTTATCATTTTACAAAATACGTAATCTGTAATTGTTCTAGTATTAAGCTAATTTGTAACTTAATACATATACATTTAAAACCATGACGTTCTCTATTTTTTTTAACAGAAATATGACAGTATGTTATTGTACAGATATACAGCTGACGAATTATTAATAATAGTTCTAGTTATTTTTTTATTCTTTCATTTAATCTCAAATAGAACAGTTACAGATACTTATAAAAAATATAAAAAAAAACACATTAATACGCTGCTCATTGCATGACTTTGGGTTGTTTTAAACTTAAAAGTATTTTAATAATTTAATTACCGATGGGATTCATTGATTATTATCTTAAACATATTAGTTGATTACAAAAAATATATTTTTAATAATAATGATATTTTGATGATTGATAATTAATAGTGTTAAAATTCACTAATAGTTAATTCTAAATATCTATAAGAATAAGAAATATTACACTTTAATATTTTAAATGCAAATTAGTATTTATTTTCCGTATTATTATTATTATCTGTGGTTTTTATTTATTCCAGATCATTATTTATTTTTCTAAATCTCATTAATTACTTTATATATAATAGAAGTAATATTAAGTACATAAATCGTTAAAAAAAAAACATTACATAAAACGCACGTCTTATTTGGGTTAAGAAAAGAACATTAGTTATGATTCATTACATTTTCAAATATTACGCTGATGCATCCTTGGGACTGCCTTTATTTAACCGAAGAGAGAGTTAATATAATATTTTTTATAGGTGGAGACGTGGTCTTCCAATGCCGTGATGAAGGTCCATTGCGTGCTCCTGTGCGTTGGATCAAGGAAGGTGGTCGACCTTTCAAACCTGGTACTGTTGACCGCAAAGGGCGTTTGGAAATGACCAAAGTCACGGTATGTGTTGAATACGGTCAAATATAACTTATTTATTCTTACATTATTAATAAGATTTGCGTTAAGGTATATGTTTTTTATTCCACGCAGCGTTTTATAAATCTTTAATTCGCAGCCTATGTGTTCTTCCAGATAATGTTCTACATCTATGCCAAATTTCAGCAGGATCCGTTCAACCGTTCTGGAGATACCTTCTAACAAACATCATCCATCCCTCCAAATTTTTACATTTATAATATTACTATGTAATTTAGAACCTTTATTTAATTTTAATGTATTTAGGTATCGGATAGTGGGGTCTACATTTGTCAAGCACCTGCATATGCTGGCTATCCTGGCTCCGAATCCCGAGTCACCTTGGTAGTTGAAAGCGCATGTAAGTTTTAAGCACTATTATATGTTTGCTTTATGAAGAACTTTACTTTTCATTAATTCAATAGTAAAATATTGTTAGAATAATAACATTAACAATTTATCCTTACAGCTCAAGTGCCAAGATTACCTTTCACACCGTGCAATTTCTCTGAGGCAACTTGCGGCAACGGTCAATGCATTCCGAAATCCGCGGTTTGTGACGGCAAACCTGACTGCGATGATAGATCCGACGAGGACTCCTGCAGTGAGTTTTTTAATTTATAATACTTCTGTCTTACCTCTTTGTATTAGAACACATAAGCAAATGGTGCATCTGAATTTATTTACTAGTGCAGCTGAAAAGGTTACATCTTCCCGGCTCTTTTATTTCACAAAAAGAGCCGGGAACTATACTAATAACTACGTTTTATATTTGAATATATTTAGTTGAATATTTAATTTTTCTTCCCAGTTTCCATTTTAGTGGTGCCCTTTTCAAAAACTTTCTATAAAACTTCAGTTCAGTAGGTCCTCTAACTTCACCATTATAGCTTTTAATTTACCTTTAATAATTGTTTCAGATCTGAACGGTCAATGTGAACCGAATCAATTCGTGTGTGACAACAAGAAATGTGTGTTGAAGACGTGGTTATGTGACTCTGAGGACGACTGTGGGGACGGCTCGGACGAGCGTGACTGCCGCGCTGAGCCCGGACAAGCGTGCTCGGCTGTCGAGTTCGCGTGCTCCAGCAACCAGCAGTGCATTCCGAAGTCATACCATTGCGATGGTCACTTTGATTGCCAAGATAACTCCGATGAAATTGGCTGTGGTAGGTTTTTATACGCTCATACAATATAGGCACCACAAATATGATGAATTGTGTAACGCTTTTGTCACGGCAATAGCTTTTCGACATTATTAGTGTTACTTTAATTCCAATAAAAATATTTTGATATTTGGCCATCGTAAGAGAAAACTAGGAGGATTACAATAAATTATAAATTCGCAATAAAATTTTAGTGTTTTGTTATCGTCAGAAGTGTGACATGTTTACAGTAATTGTCTGTCACCAATCTAATGAACAAAAATATTTCGTTAGCTCCTGTGCACGTGAAGCGTCCTCCGGCACCTGCCAACGTGAGACTGAACCCTGGGGAGAGCTTGGTGTTGGTGTGCGAAGCAGTCGGCGTGCCCATGCCACTCATCTCCTGGCGTTTAAACTGGGGACACGTGCCCCCTAAGTGCACCTCCACCAGTATCGATGGCGTCGGAACACTTACCTGTAACAATATGCAGGTACAAAACACCTTATTGCCTGCCACATAAAGTTTGAACAGTCTAGACAGTGCAGTACTGCCATCGTCTTAACGCTGATTTCGAAACTGAACAATACTGCACTGTACAACTGACATAAACTTCGATCGAATTCTACCATCTACGCGGGCACATATTATACTTTTGCATACAGACAGTGTTTTTGAGAGGGGGAGTAATAGGCAAACCTTTTAATACTAACATTATCTTTTAGAACCAATAATAATAGTAGACACCTTTCAGCCGGAAGACAGCGGAGCTTACTCTTGTGAAGCGATCAACAGAAGTGGTACAACCTTCGCTGCTCCTGACTCCATTGTGTACGTTAACAAAACTGACGTCTGCCCGACTGGATTCTTCAATAGGTAAGTCAATGTTTTATAGCTGTTTTACTCTAAATTATGAACACTATAATACTAAGAGAGATTTAAAAAACAATTCGCCATGTTTAATGAATTTTTATAATTGTTATTGCGTGTGTTATTTTCAAAAACTAGATTGCGGAAGATGAGTCGCATTCTTCAAACTTATAGAAATTTCACACGAATAAGAAATACAAAAAAATGGTTATTTGTATTTAACTCTGTTTTTTTTTGTAGTTTTCAACTTTATCTAGTTTTGTTCTAAGCAGAAAAAAAATAATTTACATAATTGTATAATTGATTTAATTTCTTCAGCGAGGCGCGTTCTCAAAACGAATGCATCCGTTGCTTCTGTTTTGGCGAGTCGAATGTATGCCGAAGTGCTGATCTATTCACGTACAACATGCCAACGCCGCTTGGCGAAGGCGGCACCCGGCTCATCGGCGTCACACAGACTTACACCGGCGACGTGCAGATCTCTTCACAGCCCATCACTGACCAGTTCTATTACCAGTCCATGAGGAATGGAGCAACTGTAAGATTATTGCAAATTAATAACTAGCAATCCGCTAAAAACTTCGCTACAAAAAATAGTATAGTCAAGTTTATTACCACTGGAAAAAGCAAAGTCAATGATTCTATAATTAAATTCAATTAATTTTTGGCATAAATGAAAGATTCAATCATATTACTCACTTCTGTTCAGGTTACGAAACTTGATCTAGCCTCGTGGTACAAGAGCCCTGACGTGCAGCCTTTCCTTACCCTACCGGAGACGTACAACGGCAACCAGCTCACCTCCTACGGCGGACACATTAGATATAACCTGTCGCCTCATTCTACAAGATATAGCACCGATAGCACACCTGACATTATCATCAAGGTGATTACGAACTTTGTTTAAATAAGTTCACTTAAGTATATTTTATCACATTTTTTCATAATTAAAAAATAAATAAATTCGTAGGGCAAGTACCAGAGCCTCATCTATAAACACGGTGGCGAAATTTCACGTGGCTCGTATATCGAGGCTCGTCTTACTCCTGGCAACTGGATGAAACCTTCCTCAAGAGGCCCAGAGCGTGCTTCTAGGGAAGATATTATGATGGCGTAAGTGGACAAGAAAATATTGTTGTCTCAGTGTAAATAGGATGGGTACCTACTCTATGTTCTTTATGTTGTCATTAGTTTGGATAACATCGAAATGATCCTGCTTCGTGCTGGAATCAATAACGCTGGGGTCAACATCACCGACTTCGCGATGGAATCAGCGCAACACATCAACGTGGGCCTCGGCGCTGCCAGTCTCGTTGAGGAGTGCACCTGTCCACCAGGATACGAAGGACTATCATGTCAGGTAAGTCACAGAAATGTTTTCAACATATTTAAACAACTATTTACGAAGCTATTTAAAAGATCAGATATTAATGTCCATGACTTTGGTATAGAAATGCGCTGCAAATTACGTACGAGTTAAGAACGGGCCTTGGCTAGGCGATTGTGTCCCGAAGAGAACTTGTCCACCGGGTACGTACGGCGACCCCAACAGTGGATACGAGTGCAAGCCATGCCCCTGCCCGTTAACCAACACCGGCAATAGATTCGCGACCTCCTGTTCTATAGGCTCCAACGGTGAAGTTACCTGCGATTGCTTTGCTGGGTGAGTACTAACGTAAAAAAACTATTAATACAAATCACACACGTATGGTATTGAAATAAAATTATTTGTTAGACGATTTTTAAAACACATAAAGGGTAAAATTTGTTTTTAAAAGACATTCCTAAATGAAAGAATCCCCATGTTCAGATACGAGGGTCCGCAGTGCGCTTACTGCGCGGCTGGCTATATTGGAAACCCGCTAGTACCAGGAGATTCTTGTAAACCCAAGCCCACCGACAACTGCAACGCTGATGGCACCAGCGCTGTCCGACCGCCTGACGATTGCATCTGCAAAGACAACGTGGAGGGACGCTTCTGTGATCAGTGCAAAAATGGCTCCTTCTATCTCTCACAAGACTTCAGGTCGGTTATTTTAATGAAATCTTATTTATAGACAAATTAAAACTTTGTTTTTAATAATCAGTCGTTCAATAATTATGATGTTATTACAGACAAGGATGTGCTCTGTGCTTCTGTTCCGCGGTATCTCAGCAGTGCACAAGCAGCACGAACCTACGCAGAAGAGCGATCACTGTCAGCTTTAATGTACCTAATGTTGTCAACCAAGTAAAAGTGTACTCCAGCGTGCCCTCCAGCAGTGCCGGTGCTATCAGATACAACGCTCCCGTGGAAACGAAGCTGCAGCCAACTCTTCTACGAGGAGAGGTCAATTTACCAAGTGTTGATAGATCAAGACCTGCAATTTACTATTGGAGCTTACCATCCAGGTACCTGCTTTATTTGTATCTTAAATAACAATACTAATAAAAAGAACTCTTGGTTTTGGACATCATCCTGTAAATGACTTGAATGATTTTATTTTCCAGTTATGCCGGCGACAAAGTGACGTCATACGGCGGGTATTTGAACTACACCATCAATAATGTTTCACCTTATGGAACAAGGAACAATGCTGCGGACATACAACTCATAAGTGTTAGTTTATTATTTAATTAGACAAAATAGACTCATCAATAATTAAATAATTCCACTGCCGTGTCAATTGTTTAGCACATACTGCAATATATATATATGTTAATGCAAGTGTCAAAGCAGTGGAATTCTACGTTTAAAATTCACAACGCCATAACTCAAAGTTGTGACTGTCACAATTAAATTAATTGTTCGACTAAAATTATAAATACATTTTCAGGATGTTACTTTCCACTACTTCGGTAACTTTGAACCAAATAGCGACGGCACAATAACTGCGAGTGTGCAGCTTTTGGAAAAAGGATGGCAGAGGTAATTTTTCTAGTATTAATTAAATGTATTAAACACAAATTAAATGTATGCATTAATTTATATAAACAAACGGAAGAGTTTATGGGTGCATTGTTTGCTGTTAATTTTAAGTAGGAAAAAAAGGAAAAAAGAGAAGTAGCAAATGGGAATTTCTTCCCATTCCCAATTTCCCGTATCCTATCGAGAGCGTAGCTAAATTTATTTGTCTTTTTTCAGACCCGACGGCAAAGAGGTGTCTCGTGAATACTTCCTTTTGGCGTTATCTCATTTGAAGACCATATTGATAAAGGCGACGTATAATACAAATGATGTATCACCAATTTCTACCGCAAGCCTTGAGATCGCAGAGTCCAACGGCAATGGACCGCTGGCCCTTCACGTAGAGCAATGCGTCTGTCCCGATGGCTACATTGGTACGTCGTGCGAGAACTGCGCCCCCGGATACACAAGGTCTGTCCTATTAAGACACTGATTATTTTTATTAGAAAGGAAGTGTGGATTGATGTATGGATATTCGTTGCAATCATTATCATCTCACTATAAGTCCGCAGCGCAGGGCTCGGAGCCTACCCTTAGTTAGGGGTGATTTATTACTAGGTTTAAAACCGAGCATGCATCTTATTCCAAAGTAAAGTGATGAAAATGCATATTAAATATTCGGATATTTTTTAGGAGTATGGAGAGAGGATTCTACTTAAAGTTGTGCGAACCATGCGAGTGTAACGGACATTCGACAATGTGTCACCCGGAGACTCGTGAATGTTACGTAAGTACTATACTATGCTGGAAAAACGCTCTGTCATTCGTTGACAAGGGAGACCTTAATCGTAATTTTTTTTATATAAAGCAAAAGTTAATTATGAAATGGTTTGTAGGACTGCGCCGACAACACTGATGGTCCCAGCTGCGAGAACTGTAAACCTGGCTATGTGAGGGACGCTTACGGCAACTGTGTGTACGAGTCATCAACATCGCCATCATGCTAGTAAGTACTGTACATTAATATGTATACAACACTTTGAAGAAATTGAAAGTATTACGTTACGTAGCCATAGCCAGAACACTAAAAGTAATAAAGCCTGCTTGAAGCATCCCATGTAAAGGGGACTCTTACAGATTTTTATATATAAATGATCAGTACGTAGAATCTAAATCTATTTGTATTTCATTAGCTGTGATCCTCGCGGTGCGGAAGGTCCTTGCGACAATTCAGGCTACTGCCGTTGTAAGCAGAACGTGGAAGGCGAGTCCTGTGACCGCTGCAGGGCCGGTACCTTCGGCCTTGACTCCGACAACCCTCTCGGCTGCCATTCTTGCTACTGCTCAGGGGCTACTACTGAATGCCATGAAGTGAGTATACAAAGCCATCTGAACCAAACACTGACAAATGTACTGACAACTAAAACGTGGTTAAAGTATATGAATAAACCAAATATTACACGGATCTTATGTCATATGTTTGATAAGTTTGTTGTTAACATGAGTAAAGACTTTATTTTACTTTTTATTATCAGGCTACACACTACTCAAGAATACAGCTTGCAGCGCCAGTGTTCGGCGACAAGGTCGGCTACACTTTGATGGACTTGCAAGGATCCGTGGTTATCAACGACCAGTTCGTTTCTGTGCCTATCGAAAGCGAGCTCAGATATGTCTTCAGTAAACCCCCGAATCAGGACTTGTACTGGTCCCTGCCAGTATTCCCAGGTAACATATATATCTAATTGCGCAACTATAAATGTGTAATATAGTGACGCTGAGATTCCCAAACATTAACTCTACTCTATCTTTCTTATACAACGTGTAAAGTCTCAACCCTTTGTAGATTTCCCCCGTTGGTCTTCCGTGAACCCCAGAGGTTCACTTTGTATCAAGATCGTACATTTCAATTGATTTGTTTTTATTAATACAGGCAATCGAGTATTATCTTACGGCGGTACGCTGATGCTCACGCAGAGCTTTGAAACTGGTGGTATACCAGATCAAGGAAATGCTGTTGTCATCTTAGTCGGCAATGCGAGATCTATTTCTTGGACTAGTCCCAACTCCATACCATCTGGCACAGCTGTGGTAAGTCGATAAAACACTTTTTACAACATAATGCACAAACCAAGGCATCATCATACTGCTTTCATTAACGTAAAAAGTCTAAAAAGTAAAACATCTAATCAATAATTGTTTCATGTGCAATGCCTTACATCATTTTCTTGTACCAAGTTAAACTTATTTTAAATAGAGATAACTCATGGAATGAAGATTCATAATATAATATTTTTCCAGAGCTACCAAGTGCCTATGCAAGAAAGTGGTTGGTATCTACTCAACACGCCGACGCCTGCCAGCCGAGAAGACTTTATGTACATACTGCAAGACCTCAAGAGGGTCCTCGTGAAGGCCACGCTCTCCCCCAATGTCGCCTCCTCCGCCATCGCCGACGTCTCTCTGGACACCGCTTCTGAAATATATAGCACTGGCTCTCGCCCAGCGAAGGGAGTCGAGGTAACTTATACTTTGAAATATTTACATAGTAGTCCCGAGCAGGGTTTGGCGTCAGGCAGGCGGCCAGCCAGTAAAAACATTTAAAGCCAAAACATTTAACAGTATGTATTACAGGAGTAGTACATACTGTGCCGACCCTCGATAGGGATAAGTTGATGATGATGATGACATACATACATGGACAAAATACCAATTGGCTGCAGTTTTTACTGATATTTATGCGTTTTTCTTGCAGATTTGTATGTGTCCGAAAGGTTACTCTGGAACCAGTTGTGAGACATGCAGGTCTGGGTACTACAAGGAGCCAACAGGCCTGTGCAAGCAGTGTAACTGCAACGGTCACGACTGTCAACTCGGTGCCTACAGGGAGGTCGTATGCAACTGCCGACCGCCGTACACAGGACCCAACTGCTCCACAGTTGGTAAGTCACCTTTGCTCTCACACTACACTGATAATTAAATATAATGTAATTGATAATATTATGTAACACTATTTAGGCTTGATCATGGAACTACATCCGAAAATCCGCGACAGCAGTGACTTGGACCCGTTTATGCGGCGGGTCACGTTCACATGCAAATACAGAGCGCCGGAACCGTTGACTATTAAGTTTTATTTCAAGGGTAGAGAAATGCTACCCGTGAAATATTACAACGAATCCGCACTCTTTGATGATGGCTGGCGAGGCGAGCATAGTTGGCAAACTGTTTGGGACACGCGGCGTCAAGGAGAAATATACGAATGTCATACAGTCACGGAAAAGGGTTTCACCCTCGGTGTGTTGACTACGTCGTTACCAGAGAAAGGTAGAAAGAAGCCGTGGATATTTGTTACAATGTGAACGTCGAACAATTGTCAGCTTCAGCTTTGAAATAACAACAGTCGATTTCATTAAGTGTATACAATGATCCTCTCTCATTGTTTACGGAAGCTTTTTTCATGAAAATGGTTTGCGTGTATTGTGATGTCATCAATGTTATATTGTACGTTGAGTTTATCCGTTTCGTACGTTTTTTCATATTGTGGTGTAAAAAAGTTTATGTCAAATGATTTTTTGTGACAAAACATATTTTATTAATCAATTATTAAAAATAACCGTATTAATGTTATCAATGTTATACCCTCAGGCGGAGAAAACAAGAACGAAACCTCTTTGCCTCCCCCGGCACAGTCGACGGTGTCCATTAAGATTGTAAACTCAACACAAATAAGAATCCGAGAAGTGGGAAGCACAGTCAGATTTATATGCGAGGCTCAAAGTCTGTACACTCATAATGCGCTGAGAGTTAACTGGACCAAGGTCGACGGGTACCTGCCGTTGGAAAGAACTTACCTCGACTCCCGAACTGGAGAGCTTCTCATAACGAACCTACAGGTCACTGACAGTGGACAGTATATCTGCCAGACCAGCGATGGCATATCCACAGGACAAGCTATAGCCACACTTAAAGTACCAGGTGATTTAACATTTTTTTTTTCCTTTTCTTTATTCGACTTTATGACGTCTGGTGATCAAGTAAAATATAACGTTGTTATTCATCCTAAATTATTTAAAAAATGTTTAAGTTAATGTAAAAAATTATAAACTATAAATTAATGTGCTATACAATTTTTTATGCATTAATTCATGGAATAGTTGTCCCTGACTGGGTGTTCTACGCTAAAGGTATTTCCATTGAAATTATGTGCATTACTTTATTGACATGAACGAGAAACGACAATTTTAAATATTCAAGAAGTTATTTAATTTTAATATGTTTCTTTTTAAATGTTCAGGAAATCCTATGACACTGCCGATTGTGGCAATCAGGCCTTCCTCTACTGATTACTACGAAGGCGATAGGATCGAACTGGAGTGCCAGGTGTCCGGCAACCCCGCACCCAGCATCACCTGGCAGCGAGCATCCAACAAGCCTGTATACAGAGCTTCTCAGTATGACACCTTCTTCATCATCGATAATGCTCTCGAAGAAGATTCTGGAGAGTACAGGTAATTTATACCATACCAAATATTTCTTCATTGTGTTTATTTGTATGTCAAAAATCATGCCCCCTGTCTAGAAATAATACATAATTTCCTGTGCTTTCTTTCCAGGTGTATTGCTTCTAACTCTATGGGCTCATCAGACAAGTCGGTCGTGATCACAGTACGCGCTCGCCCGTCGAGACCAGTCCGGGAAAAGCTCACGGTGTCCGCAAACGCCGCTAACCTTACCGAGGGCCAGAGCACGCGCATCGTGTGCACGGGGACTGCCAACGTGCCCGCTGGTACCATAGAATGGATCAGGTATTAAACATCAATTTTAGCCATTCGATCAACGATTTCAATTCCATTCTTTACTCAATTCCCATAATTTGCACAGACAAGATGGTGCTCAACTATTGGAGAACGTGCGATCAGACAACGGCGTTCTGTACATCGACCGCGCGACAACAGAGAACCAGGGCATCTACGTGTGCCACTCGATATCAACAGAGATCGGTCCCGTGCCCATCGTGGTCACCATCATACCTCTGAACCCGCCCTCGCCCGGCGAAGCCTCCAACATCACCGTCTCTGAGAAAAGTCTGAGGTTACACGCCGGAGGCAGCGGCTCTGTCGAGTGTAATCCTACAGGAAACCCCCTGCCTTTGATTAAATGGACCAAAGTTAGTATACGTAACTAGTAAAAAATTTAAACAAATAATTCTTACTATTAATCTTAGCAAAAGTTTATTTGTTGTATGTTTCATACTGAATGTAAACTTGCCCACAGTATCAAGGCAACTTCGGTTCCGGTGTTAGCCAACGGTACAACTCCCTGTTGGTCTCCAACGCACAGCCGAGCGACGAAGGTTACTACGTATGCGAGGGATCTGTCAGAGATGAGGCTATCGGCATCATATACGTTTATGTTGCTGTCGAAAGTGAGCTCATTTTACATTCCTTTAATACCGACGAATGATTGATGTTACTATAATAAGATCCGTACTGGGAAGATGGTACGGTACGCCTTAGAAGTGGCATTGCATTGTGCAACATAGTGAGTCATGATTTCAGAACGCGAGCCGCCGCGTGTCAGCGTGTGGCCGCAAGGAGAGCAGGCTGTCGCGCTAGGCAGTCCTTTCGTGCTGATGTGCCGCCTGTTGGCCGGCGACCCCGAGCCCGTCGTCACCTGGGAGCGTGCCGGCGGCCGCAGCCTCGCGCCACATGCCCAGCTTATGCCTAACCACGAGCTAAAGTAAGTTCATTTACCTAAGGAAATGTGAATCTTGGAAACGACTCTGAGTTTTTGCATCATTCCTTTTTTTCTACAAATTTGCCTGTATAGACATACAATAGTAATAGTTTCAGTTCACTGTTTCAGTCTTCCGCTTCGAATATGATGTAACTATTCGAAATTATTTATACTAAATATGTTTCTACAGCTTCGAAAAGGTTGACGTAAATGACGAAGGCGAGTACATCTGCACTGCAACAAACGAGGCCGGCAGTGACCGGTCAAGCGCTGTCATCAAGGTCCGCTCTCCGCCGGAGATATTCATCACGCCCAGCGATTACGTGGAGGCAGTGCGCGGCGACTCGGTCACCATCGAATGCCGCGCCCGCGGGTACCCCGAGCCCATGGTCTCCATCAAGAGTAAGTTACATCATATTATGCCAGTATAAGAAGTAAGAAGACTAAATGGCTAATAAGACCTTATTTGAAGTGCGAAACAAATAAAAATTTCGCAAACGTCTGTGATCCAATTATTTTAATTGGACAGATTTTGAGAAGCTTCATATGAAGCCGCAATATTTTTCATTCATTTTGACTTTAATCAACAAGAAAATTTCGTAAGATCTAAGTTTTATAATATGTGTATTGCAGCGAGCCCGGATATGCGCGAGGTGGTGCCTCCTTCGCGCGGCATGGCCGTCCTTCGCATTCCGTCTGTGAGCGAGCGTGATGACGGCATGTACGTTTGCACCGCCTCCTCCGCTGCCGCTACTATTGACCAGCAGATCAACATCCGCGTTGACCGTGGCGACGGCGGCCTTGGCGACTTTGGTAAGTTTTTTCTATTACACTTACGCTCTACCTTTAAATCTATTACTGGTTGTTTTGTTGATAATGTTTTTATTATTTATGTTTTTAGTTTTTATTAATTACTAGCTGTTTCCCGCGTCTCAGTCCGTGTGTAATTACAAAAACATAATTAGAAGTATATGTGTTCTTACAGACTATGTTCTACATCTACGCCAAATTTCATTGAGATCCGATCAGCCGTTCTGGAGATACCTTCAAACAAACATCCATCTATCCATCCATCCATCTATTCATCTACCCATCCATCAATCTAAACATTTGAATTTATAATTTAGTAAGAAGTAAGATTATAATAGTACGATATGTGTTAACATTGTAGAGGGCAGCGGTGAGGTCGACATAAACGTGGACCTACCTGTGTACGAAAACAGACCGTCTAACAGCATCGCCATTGAAGGCAGGGACGCGCGGCTAAGGTACACTTTCTTAAAACTCATTCATTTACTTTACAGCAACTTTCTGTAGATTAGAAAATATAAACCTGTGTAGACTGATATCTTTGAAGTGTGTCCATTTATGATAGATTAGTTTGACAATTCACTAGAGATGGATTGAGTAAAATCGGTTATCGGTTGTTCTCATAGAACTTGCAATCGAAAATTGTTTTGGAATTATAAATAAAATTATTTTTATCTATTCCTATTAAAACGTAATACTGAAAAATTGAGGTGTTGACAAGCAAAGAAGAAATGCATTTCATGTATTTTTTTGTTAATTGTCATTGTCAATTGCCATACATAGCGAAATAACTGTAATAAATTAAAAAAGTAACAAAATACCTACATCATGGAACTTATTTGTTCCTTAAATTTGTTATAAGACCGATTCTCGATAGTTCATAGTTCGTTATGTGCGTGCGGTCCGACACTATGACAACCGTTCATTAAGTACAATATTAAAACTCATACAAAATTAATTCGATACTTCATAGGCGTCAGTTGTTGAACTATAAAATAATCAATCTTAAATACACACAATATAAAAGTCAATATTTGGTATATTTATAAAGTATTTATAAAAAATTGTGGTACAGTTGCAATGGATCTACTGATTTCGATGTCGCCTGGCGCAAGGACAACGGTAGACTGAAATACAACGTGGAAGCGCGTGGCATCGAGCTCATCATTAAAAATGTAAGTAGTTAGATTCATACATACATATATCCTTATTTGATTCAATTTCGCTACATATTTTCTTGTTGTGAGTGTTATTGCTAGCAATACACCACCCTATGTCATTAATTCTACAAAACATTTAATTTTTTATATGTGAATAGGCAACGAAATCTGATTCGGGAGTGTACGAGTGTCTTCTGAAGAGCCGACAAACGGGCGAAGTGCAGCAAGTGACAACGATCAGGCTGTTGGTGATGGCAGTGCCGCGCATCTCGCTGCGGCCAGCCACCCAGGTCGTACAGCCAGGCCAGTCGCCCACCGTTGAGTGCGTTGTTACTGGCGACGACATCAGAGACATCACCTGGAAACCTGTCAACAGGCAACCCTCTAGGTGCGTCATCAATGCTAATATTGTGAAAAAAAATATTCATATTTTGTAACAAATAATCTTAAAAACTACTAGTCCGAATTCATTTGCTATTAGCAAGTTACAGTAATAATTATTTTATATAATATAAAAATACAACTTGATGAGCACACATTACTATAAATTTTCAAATGAAAATAAAATGTAAATATTTGCAGCCGTATTGAAATCCGAGGCTCCACACTGATATTCCGCCAAATCGAAGTGGAAGACGCCGGCCAATACGAATGCTTCGCTCAGAACCCCATCGCGAACGCATCTGCCGTCGCTGAAGTTATCGTCAGTGGTAAGACTGTCCGCTTCTTTTTCCCAACAATGCTTGATGTTAATCCACAAACAACAGCACCGACACTGAAATATAGTTGAATAGCGCAAAAAGAGAGAACAGACAAGAAGAATGAATATGCTTACATCACCGTGTACAGGATTTACTCCTGCACCTTGTTGTTAGTTTAAATTTGCATACTCCTAGCCGAGAGGTGGATCGTTTGGAATGTAGCAGGTATATAATTGAGTTCATAATCAGTGTTGTAACAATTTAATTGAACGTATCAGCTCAGTTCCGCTCTATCCACTTTACGGTGACGGACGCACTCTAATGATGCTTTAAAAGTTGTTGAACCGCTTTTGGTATGCATGTGACAATGAAATTCTTAGAAGAAAGTGGAGGAAGAGCCACGGAGTCGCACGATAACGAGCAGACCGCGTACGTGGGTGCGGCGGTGCAGCTGAGCTGCAATGTGACGCGGCCCAGCACGCGCATCCGTTGGAGCAAGGACGGCACAGTGCTACCGCGGTCCGCACGACAGAACGACGACGGCTCGCTCTTCATACGGATCGCGCAGAAGTCCGACAGCGGACGCTATATCTGTATCATTTACGATCAGTACGGCAGAAAGACTAGCAATTACATCAACCTGCACATCGAGGGTCAGTTATAGTCAAACGTAATTGTACACTCGTAGTTGGAGCTTCAACGACCGTTTTCGTCCCTGTCTCCCTCATTGCTTTTGGCGGCGGGTAAAATTGTCATGCTTGGCCTCTCTGTTGTTTCCTACTTTTTCGCTGTATTCATACGATAACGCCGGCTTGAAATATTTTAATTAGTGTTCGTTTTCTTTTTTTCTTTTTTTTTTAAACTGTGCTGACGTTTTTATTGTTACACGAAGGTGTTGAATGCTTGAGATCACAATTTCGATGTCATGATGACTCCGGTTGCATAGAGAAGATGCTACTGTGTGACGGATTTAGCGACTGTCAAGATTCTAGCGACGAAGGGAGCTGCCTCTCGTCAGACGACAGTAACCCGGATATCCTATCGGACTCGGACATGAACTCCACCGGTAAATCTGGTTGGGAAGAGGGGGTCGGGTCGTGTGTGGTTATGTCGTTATATTGGTATATTTAAAGGGATATTTAATCGGTATTATATAACTGTGGAGTGCTGTTCAAAAATGTTCTATGTTCTACGTCATTCGGCCTTGAAAACTGTCAACTTTAATAATATCAAAATTATAATTGGTAGGACCTCTAGCTTGTATTATATAAACAGTAATTTCACAAGTTTGTAATATGACAAAAGTTTGGTAAGGGGCTTATTGGATAACGTATGAAAATATTTTATGTAATTGTTATTAACTCAAGCTAAATGTTGTCCTGTCAAATGTTTTGTGTGAATAAGTTATATTTTGTATTATTTGTGTTGTAGTGTTTATTGATGTAGTAGATATTGTACAGTGTGCAAATATTTATTTAGTTTTGCTTAGCATGTTATATTGTAAATTGTGGTGTCTGCATGTCTTAGCTTAAATTGTAGACTTTTGTGAAATATTTATTTGTACTTTTGTAATACGGTTTTGGTGTACTCACGGTAGACATTCGTATATTTTGATCTACTTTCTTGTAGGACCCCGCAACAATGGTGAACTAGTGTCAATCGAACAACCAAAGAGGCAGTACATAGTTGGTGAAAATGTGGAAGTCAAGTGCAGGACCATTTCAAGAGACATCCGAGTGCATTGGGAGCGGTATGGGACAAACCAATACGTAGTTTCAAGGGTAATTAATTTTAATTATTTTATTTTAACATATGTTATAGTGTTGTATTTTTTTGCCATACAAAGGAATGTTATAAATTTGTCCTACGTGAGTGGCTACTAGCTATTTCTTATCTGTATATTGTACGTGAACAGACATACGGCGACGGCGCGTTGCTGATTCTGCAAGGAGTGCAAGAGGCGGACGCTGGCCTATACCGGTGTATTGGCAACAGTCCCTACGGAGATACGTCCTACGATGATTTCAACCTCGTCGTAGTTCCAAGTAATGTTCTTCATAAATACTTCAGCATTTAATTGGCAAATGAGCAAGCGACTTAGTACAATGATGTCGTATATTTATAATTAAATTAAAAATAATTAATATTAAATATTTTTTCGTCAAATCATTTGGTCGTTTCGTGCAACAAATGTTATTTTTCGAATGTAGCATTTAAATTGCATCATATTTTTCTTTTTATATATATAAATATAACTACTCCATCACATTACTTAAAAATTTATCTTAATCTACCATGTTTGATTTCAGTTGCTAACAATCAATTGATACCGGCCGAGTCGCAGCCCCAAGCGTATACGGCGCGCCTTTGGGATTCCGTCAGACTGCCCTGCAGCCACAATCTGGAACAACCAGTTAACATCGAATGGACGAAGGAGTACTCCCATCTGCCTACCAATGTCAGAACTAATGAAGTGAGTATACCATGATCTCAAAATTGATGTTCCAATATTTTTTTATCTCACTATTATTTATTGTAGAAGTAAATATTATCGTCAAGTCATAATGAGGGAATCTCGGGAACCAGAGGAACTATAAATGCGTTGTTTATCATGTACTGTTAATTTTTTTGCAGCCCGTGCTAGATCTGGACAGCGTGAGTGAGACCGATGCCGGCACATACATTTGTCGAGTGAGCAACAATCGCGCGGCTGTCGAAACACGCGCCATATTGCGAGTAACAGGCATCGTGCCGCGCTTCAACGGAGACAGCTGGCTCGCTCTACCTATGATAAAGGACGCCTACATGCAATTCGACATTGAAATCTCATTCAAACCTAGCGGTATGTATCATAACATTAGGAAGAGACTGATCCAATGACCGGTTAACAAGAAAATATACTTGATAATTTTGTTTTTCCTATGAAATATACAAAAGAATTGAATTGATTCGATACCCAAGATGTTTAATTTTTCAGACAACAACGGCCTTGTTCTGTACAATGGTCAGAATTTGGACCGCAGCGGAGACTACTTGGCACTGCAGCTAATAGATGGTGTACCCACCTTCGTGTTCGAAACTGGCAGCGGCCCAGTTATCGTGTCCGGTGATAGACCACTCTCACTCAACACTTGGCACACCATTAGGATCAGTAGAACCAACTCTAAAGGTAATAAAACATTATTTATAGATAAAAAAAATAATATCAAGAGTTTTTTCTTAATTTTTCATAATTTATCGGATGCAGTTTCTATGGACGTGGATAATAAGGGTCCGTTCACATCTGAGTCATCCCAGCAATGGGACGTGCTGGACTTGAAACAGCCGCTTTACATCGGCGGTGTACCCGACCCTAACCAACTGCCAGCAGATCTAGCCGGAGCATCAGGGTAAAAACCTTTTAATATGATGTATCTGAGAGATGAAGCTTAGTTCTAAGAAAGGTATAATATTATATGGTTATTTTACAAACGCAGCTTCATCGGGTGTGTAAGCATGCTGATCCTTGGACGTGAGGAGATTAACATGATGGCTGACACTACGAGCCAGAACAACCTGAAGGAATGCGACTCCTGTGTGCCCAACGTGTGTCTCCATGGCGGCGTGTGCCAGGTTGGTTTTCAATATTATCAGTCAAGGTATTGTTGACTATTGAACCTAGACATTCGATAATTGCAATCAATATTGGCCTTTGCCTTCATTAAAGAGACTCCCATCTTTAACCATAGCTTTGACCCTTCCTTCAGAAGGTTTCCTCACATGTGTGGCTGAGTCCATGGTCACAAAATAAGATCAAATTATAATCATGTAAAAACGATCGATGCTACTTGTCCAAAGGGATACATTACTTGACGATTTTTGTGATTGCAGGAGGCACGCAACGAGCGAGGCTACGTGTGCCTCTGCCCCGCCGGGTACGCAGGCTTGCGTTGCGACCGCACGGGCGAGGCATGCCGACCTGGTCTCTGCGGCCCCGGTCGCTGCACAGACACTGCTGACGGCTACAAGTGCGCTTGCCCCGTCACGTTCACCGGCAAAAAGTATTTTTCACATCTCTTTATTGTTTTGCATATAAGTTTATCTTCAAGGTCGTATTTGACCAATTATAATCGAAGCCAAAGATACCTATACTTTTCTAGTTAATACCAGTCAAAACTTTACTGGTTTCGATACTCCCTTGTTCCGTAACTATGTCCTGTCAATGTATCTTACAACAAAAAAAAAACCCAGTGTGTCTTAGACCCTTTTAAGATTCACTAATCTAACGTAACATTCTGTTATGTTCATTACTTCATAAAATTTGATGTTATTTAACATACAATGGTGGAATTATTTTTCAGCTGTGAACAAAAGCAAAACATCGAATACCCAGCGTTCACGGGGAGCGCGTTCCTGGCTATCAGACTGCCGAGAACGTCTCGTCGGTATTTCCGTATGTCAATGAAGATCAAAGCAACGCCACCAGTGATCGACGGCATAATAATGTACTGCAAGGCGCGCGGCGGAGGATACACCGCACTGTCCGTGCACAACGGAAAACTAGAATTCCGATTCGACCTCGGCGATGGTAAATTACACAGTACATTTAAACCAGCTTAACCCATTACTTTGTTAATATAACGATCATTTAATTAATAATAAACAAACCAAAGATCTTTTGCCGGGTTGTTTTAGTTTGTATTTTTATAATTGTGAGTCAAATGGTCACGGAGACATGATGTTCACAGGAAGACCAGTGGTGCTGACCAGTAACAAGACACTTGATGTGAACGAATGGACCGACGTACACGTTGCACGAGTCGGCGCTGACGTCTCTATGAAGATTAATATGATTGATACATACGAACAGAAACTCGCCTCTAACAAAACGGTAAAACTAAACCTAAGACTACTTAGTAATAGTTAAGTTCATATTATTTCTAATGATAATTTTGCAAAATAAAAATTAGCCAAATTTTCTATAAAGCTATGAAATAAAATACATGAGAATAATCTTCTGTCTTCCTGTAAGATGTGAAAACACATAAACATTGGATTAACAATGTGTTTATCCTTACATATCTAGATAAAGGTGATTAATCTGTAAAATGTTAATGTTAAATTTGTCTGTCAGGATGTGATCCTTGACTCACCGATGTACGTCGGAGGCGTGGACGAGTCGATAACCTTGGACAACAGCACTGGCGTCATCGGAGGATTCAGCGGCTGCATTAAAGAAGTTTGTATTTTTTTGAGAAATTAAATAAGAACTAAAGAGTCACTTGATTCGTGACTACTACCGGTAAATGTCTACAAGGCAATGTACAGCAGATATTCTTTTTCATCATCATCATCATACTCAGCGTAAACTTGTCCACTGCTGGACGTAGGCCTCCCCCAACGATTGCCACTATGCCCGGTCCTGTACCTGTGTGTCCTGTGTGATATTCTTCATATTAGAAAATAATTATATAATATGTGGTGGGGAAAGGCCATTTTTTCTTTAAGTTATTACGTTATAGCTATTACATTGCGATATTCATTGTTTGTCCAATAGGTTCGCTTAAACCAGGGTGATCAGCTGGACATTGTGAACGCATCTATCCAGTCGGCTAATATTCAAGAATGCCCCAACGACGTCCGCGGAGACATCCCTGAGGTGAGTATTTTTTTTAATTTAATTAGACTTCTTTCTTCTTCTTTTTTTGTCTTTCTCTCAATCTCTCTTTTCAAATAGAACATTTTAAGTGATTATTATTGTGTCATACAGGTATACAGCGTGTGCAGCCTGTGCCGTAACGACGGTAGGTGCACCTCACTGGACGCCACAGCTTGCACGTGCCCCCCCGGTTTCTCCGGCACGTACTGCGAGAACAGGTCCTCGTACCGCACGCCCTACATCGACCCATGCGCCGCGCGACCCTGCAGGAACGGCGGCATCTGCAAACTGGACCGCTCCTCCAAAATGAACTACACCTGCGACTGTACTCTAGGCTTCGCCGGCGCTAATTGTCAGATGCGTAAGTATAATGTCTTAAATATTATTTAGAATTAAAAGCTTTAGATGGTATGTAAAATTATATTTTACATGTTTCCTTATTTCGTTGATATATTGTTATAATTGTTAATCAATGGTAATTTCTCATCTCGAGCATAAGATGTTTCGTATAGACTTTGATATACTGATCATATCGTACTACGACAAAAAGTATATTGAAGCTTAACTTTCTAAATTCTAATTCATTGAACTGTTTACTAACCATTCTTTATTTGCAGCGCTTGAACTACTGGAGAGTGTCGGTTTCAATGGCAACGGATACCTGGAATTGCCGGGCAACATGTTGAGCTACGAGGACCTGGGCAGGGAGCCCGCGGTGATGGCGCTCGCTATCAACACCAACTACGACGGAGTCTTACTTTACCACCACGAGGCACAAGCACCACCGAACTCCGGAGATTATGTCCTTATCAGAAGTAAGACATTGTTCACATTTACAGATTAGAAAACAGGTATGAAGTAATGAGAATGAAATAGTGTACGGATGGCTAAAAGAGTAAAGAAGTACGGAATGTATGTACAGATTTTAATGAGGATACATGTATGATAGTTGAAAGAAATGTATGGAAGAGCAGTATTTCCTGCGTCCAATCTAGAGAAAGAAGATTTTCCCATGGAACTTTAACTATATCAATAAAACATAAATATTTAATCATGCTTATAATTTGCAACACGATATAAGTCATTGATATAATATGTCTTGTGATCATCGTATTAATAATTTATTTTTATTGCAGTTGAAAACGGAGTGGTCGTGATGGAGTGGGACATGGGCAGCGGACTGAATGAAGTGCGCATCGAAAACGTTCAAGTCACCGATGGAGACCGACACGAGGTAAATAACATAACATTTAGTCTTCTTATCGAATAAGGTTCAGTCTTTTAATCGAATATCTATCAATAAAAAGTAATTAATAATAATAATAAAAATATGCATTACATTTTAATCATTCAAGCATTAAGAAGGAAAGTTTTCTTCACCAAGAAAATCATAATTTGTGACACTTCAGGGTACTGATATTCTGCGTCTATAGATTTGAATTAATATTATAAAAACTTATTATTGTAACAGATTATCGCCAAACTGCTGACCGACAGCCGAGCTTACCTCTCCGTTGATGGAACCACCAAGATAGCACAATCCAACGGATTTGCAAACGTTATGAGTGCTGACTCTAATGTCTATATAGGTAAGTTTAGACCTTTTGTTGACTAGCTTATATCCGCGACTTTGTCTGCTCGATATTGAAAATAAAACTTAATAAGTAAGCTGTGTGTTCTTCCGATATGCTTCCAAACATCCATCCATCGAAACTATGTGAACATTCGCATTTATAATATCAATAAGATTGATTCATTACCTTGTTACACGATATATTTTGGCTTCGAAAATAATGTTTTCTGTAATTGGCTGCTAGTGTTCCCTACAATCACGCGGTCTCTAGAGTAGATTGAGTAAGAGAAATCTAATTTCTTTGAATGCGAAGTAACACTACTGGTCAAGTTCAGTTGTATACATATTGTGTTTGATAAATTATGTATATTAATGTAATGGCAATTGTCAGGTGGTATACCGGATCGTCTGAACTACAACCGCTACCCGGGTCTGGTGGGTTGCATCGAGCAAGTCGAGCTGATGGACATGGACCGTGGCATCAAACTCGGCCGCAGTGCTGTCGCCGGCAGAAACACCCAGCGATGCAGGGAGTCAGTAACATTTTATTACATACATCATAATTTACATGGCACTATACTTACTAATTCATATATATTAATTATTATTAACGCTTGGGATTGATGCTATCATTATCTCTCTTGTTTACTCTGTCGCACACACGTGGCAACCTAGCAGTAGGGATGGTCAATCCAGGGGGATCGTAACACACTATAACGACCCCTTTGACTGGATATGATTTAAATTGTTCCAGTATCGTAACAAATTGGATTAAAATGAGAACAGGTTGTGTCGCATAATGCGATGGTCTTATAAAATTGTCCAAAATATAAATAACGAAATATTTGACTATGTTAAGATTAAAAAATATTACACCTAAGGTCATAAAAACTCACTACTAACAAATTGCGTTTATTTACGTTTTTATTGTACTAAATATTGTGTCTTTTGCACGCTGCATTGGATATAACAGTTCTATGTTCCCCGACGTGTATCCCTTCTTCGAAGAGATTGAGGTTTTCGAATCTCCCCCAATGTACAAATCATTGTCCAGACCTCAATCGGCCCCGATTTGCGGCACCTGCCTCATTTCTGCTCCGTCCTTTGTTATATTCTTATACATAACCATTCCTTACTAACCGGACAACTATGTCGAATACTAATATGGATATTCAAGGTATTGTATATTACATTTATATTTAATCACATTTCGCCTAATTCGTTTGCATAGAATTTAAAAAAAGCTAAGGAAGTAGTCTATATGTTCTTCATCAAAATCCGTTCAGCAATTTCTGACATACATAACTGTCGCATTTATTAGTAAGATATTCTATATCTACCAAAATATCGTGTTAAAATTTTACTATATTGTAATTGTAGTTTATCTTGTGGATTTGTATGTTACGGACAGACATACACATTATTATGACAATGTATATATATTTTCTTGTTTGCAGTTCTTTAGTATATAATGTTATCTAATGTTATTTTATTTTCAGGTGACGGATCACTTTATGAAGATCGACCTAAATAATATTAATCGATGATATGTCAAATTAATTGTATCTACAATTTGTATAACTACTGTAATCTCTTATGTTGCCAGCGACTATCTCATTTCTATTGTTCATATATATTTGAATTATTATTATATATATTCTTGAATTAACAATCAGTTTAATTATTTGGTTAGTTTATTCATGTGAACTTTACAGATTGATATTTGTTAAATTAGTAGATATTTTATTAATATGTACCGTTTTATCTAGTATTAAGTGGACTTCATTGTTCTGGACAATACTGCTAGCTTAGTATTTAGATAATAAAAATATTATTGAATATTAATTATTGATATATATTTATCCAATGTTTCCGTATACTGCGACGGTGCTGTGAGGAGTTCTGGTGCCATACGATTGAATCATTACTATTATTAGGCTTAGGATAACTGTGCTACTAATTTTTATCTTCTTGCATATGTTAATCCACTCGCCTACTAAGCTTTGTTTTTTTATACCTTTTTTTTATGAACTATATATATTTTTACGAGTGTATAAATACACTTTGAGAGTGTTTACTTTCTAAAAGTTCTCTCTAAAAATTAGAATATCTTTTTATAATTTCCACGAAACCCTTATTTTAATTACAATGTGCCAAAAGCAGTTTAACTAGTTTTTTTTTTGTAAATTCCTTTTATTTTTGTCACTGCCATTTATTTGCTGCCGTTGCTTTTCTTTTATAATTTAGTTATATAACTACATAGTACATATTTCCTACAATTTAAAGGCAACGAATATGCTAATGTGAAGTACTTAGGTATATTTTAGAATGAAATAATAAATGGTATATTGTTGTTTATTTTGTTTGATTAGAACGGTGGCATTTACTTTCATTATAACTGCATGTAATTGGTCGAGCCGCTGATGCGGACTTAGCTTTTTAAGTAATACTTAGTCATTAAAAGCATAACATGTGTCAGATACTGTTTACTAAGTCATCAGCTGTGGCATACTATTTTACCGAGATGACTTTAAAGTACTGATGTTATGTATGAATCCGATTGAATTTGATATTGTATCAAACCTGCCTACGTAATAAGGAATTCTATTGTGTGTACACTACTAAGTGAACAACTAATAATAAATCGATTAAACTGTCTATAAATATAACTTGTGTTTTCTCTTATAATCCACTATTTTTTTGTTTTTTTTATATCGACTAAAGTAAATAATATAATTTTTAAGATTACTAACACTACATAATGTTAAGTAAAAATATTATATTAATGAAGTTATACTGACAAATTACAATCGAAGGATTGTAGCGAACTTTAAAATTTTTACAAAATTATCTGAACCGGTGAGAGAGTCACTGCTAGATCTGTCTGTTTGTTATACCCACCAGGACAGTCTCGGTCTATACTTAATTCAAATGTCATGAGACTTTAGTTTCCGCCAAAGCCTTGCCCGCATACCCTGGTAGCTGCAGTCTTCTAGCCAGTTGACACAAGACTTCTCATGATTATAATATATATCGTTAGGTATAACCGTAACAAAAGGATCCAAGTCCCCAGGATTGATGACCAGGAAGTCATTCCTACCCATTTGTTCCACCACCGGCCGATCGTAGAGCGCTGATGATTTCTTTTCTAATGCATACTTAAGCTCTGCTTCCACTAATTCCGCGAGAAAATTTTTATTACGTGGTGTCACTGGAGTTTCGGTTGTGTCCGACTTTTGATCACGCAGCAATAATTGTATTTTCTTCTTCGGTATATGCATTCTTAAACTCTCTATAAGATATTTCTTTTTCATTTTCTCATCCGAATCGCACCTCCGGCCGTCGTGTTTGGATCTTATTAGAAATTTTATTCCATCTTCTAAGTTACCGTACGCACTGGATTTGATATTTTTCTGATCATTTCTACTTGAAAGGCTCATTGCTTGCACGTACTGCAAGACCAAAGCACTCGTTATAACATGCTGAAAGTATTTCAAATTATTAATAAAATATATGTCTACTTAATATCAGGCATGATATTAAACTTTTAAAGTAGTACTCACAAACAGCAGCGACATTGCTTTAGAGAAATGCAAATATAACGTGTGTTCAATAAAGTTTCTACAACAATATCATACATATGTTACTCCAATCACGCGTGAAATTAATTTTAGAAATGAACCTTGACTTTTTAAAACCTGAAAATACTTAACATTTTTATTACTCAACATTTTAATTTTAACGAGATTTCTTTCTGTTTAAACATTTATATAAAACATACTGTGATCTCGAATCTTATCGAAATTGGACTAGAAATCACGATGTTACCGGTCACTAATAAATTTTAAAATAATCATCAGCTCACTATACGTTCCCATTAAGGGGCACGGAACCTACCCCAAGTCCGGGGTCAAGGCCATTATCAACCACGATGACCCAATGCAAAGCTGTGCCAATTAAAAAATATTTATTAAGTGGGGAAACTTGAACTAATTCTGTTTGGACTTTTTTGAATGTAGAAGAAACGGGAGAGGTGTGTCAGCACCGCGCCAAATGAAGGTCTGTGATCTCTGCCTTACTACAGGCGTGACTTATGTTGTTGGTTTGTTAAAATAAACTTTTTTTAAATGATTAACTGAACTGACCTTTTTTATTGAATACCAAAGTAATTTATAAAACTCTATCCAAACTAAATCCATAATCGATTAACATCTGTACAGATGTGTAACTATTTTTTTCAAAATCGGAGCACCAAGGCGGAGTTACGCGGTAACACAGAAAAAATACAGATGACTAGATAACCTCCTTTTTTTCGGATAAAAAGATAGATTGGATTTTAGATCTGTGTCAAATAAAATTCATAATCTTTGACTACACAGTTGAGGCTACTTATTTCTTTATTTGCAGATAGAATGTTACGATTATAAGAATATTTTTAGAAACTCCAGTTTAAAAGCAATGAAAACATGCCGCCGTAAGTAGTACTGTCCGGCATTGATATAGGCGTTGCTAGGCAACGGGGCTTATCCGCTAGTCTTCCATTCGACTCAAAGGGCAAGCGTGTACATATTTTGAAAAATAACAGTGATCTTAGATTTAGATTATAAATCTCCTTTGTGATAAATATAAAACTACACCGTACTTTTCTACTGTTGGAACATCTGTTACAAAAGATCTCTCATGCTCAGTGAAAAAACGAACAAACCGATATGATTCTATACATGTTTTTGTCAATGGAAATGCGTGGTTGTAAATATAGATTTTGCTAGCGAATATAACTGATATTGATCAAAAACAACGTAAGTACTCCTGATGTAATTAGAAATTACCTAATTTGTCTAAAAACTGTCAGTTTGCGAGTTTGAGAATGCAAGAATTCTGGAACTCGCAGAAAAAAAGCGTCTTTTTGAATTAAGTACCTACATCTAACTTTTCTGTTGCTCCATAACTAGCATTTTACATTCGTATTTTACTAGCTGTTGTCCACAATCATTAGGAGCCTACGTTCTTCCAGACTACGTTCTGCAACAATGCAAAATTCCAGAGAGACCCGTTAAGCCGTTCTGAAGATACCTTGTAACAAACATCCATCCACCCATATTAACATTCGCATTTATAATATTATAATAGTAAGATTACGTACGTATGCAAAGCATAAGTGTACCTTATTATTAATAATTATATACGATAATTTAGTGGTTGGCCCGGTTTACTCAAAAGTATTGAACCATGTTTGAGAATTTCACAAATTTAAAGTTTTACTATCGGCGAACTATCTTGGTTAATTTTGCTTTTCTAGTCTATATTAAAATCCTATGTAGATAAAAAATAAAGCTAGTGTGTGTTGTTTGTTTCATATGTTATTGGGCTAATTAAGCAGTACATAAGTTAAGATAAACATAGTTAAGTCGCTTGTATACAGATTTACTTTCAGATATAAAAATCAGCAAAAATATTTTTACACAAGAAATGAAAAATTTAAATATTTCGTTGAAAGCGTGGAGAGCTTTTTGATTGATAGCGCGTATCTTCACTTAAGTTCGCTCGACTGAGTGCGCCGGACGTCGGTGCCTTGCGTGCGCGTTTTACGATTTTCTTCAATATCCAAAGTTTGACCTGATTTTAAATCGCGTCGAATTTACGGTACCAGTGTTTAATTGTAAATTAAATTTTCAAGATTGTAATGTGTTAAGGATTTATTTGTGCGTGATTTTGTGATCGCGACCGTGACAGCTGGTAAGTAAAAATATGTACAAACTACTTTTTTCAATGTTCCTGAAAATTATAGGCATCGTAATAATAAACTTTTAAACTATATTTTGCTGAAATGTATAGGAAAAGTCATTGTTATATGAATTAAATTAAATATTATTTTACTTTTTATTTATTTATTATATTAATTAAGACAGGAAACGATAAACTGCTATGAAAAATACCAATACATACCAATTTTACGGAACAATTTTCAATAATTGCTTCATAATTTCGGGGTTATTAGTTAACCTTCTCTGTTCCTAAGGTGTTTCTCAATTTTAAAGTTCTAGTAACAGATTTATTTTAATATTAGTTCTTAAAGGAATAATTTGATTATGAAACAAATATACTCGATATATATTTATTATTTTATTTTAGAACTATCAGGCTTTTAAGACAGACTGCTATTGCACCATATGCTTGTAACATAGTAATAGAAACTAAACAACATCAAAAGCATAAGACCAATGTTTTTACTAAAACTTATCATTAATAAAAAAATATTATATTAGTAAAAATTTACGATTTACGCAAGGACTTTTTCTATTATAGGCTAAACAAAAAACTTTGCAATTTTTTACCTTTTAATAAAACCTAGAACCTCAATCGCATGTACTAAGTGGAGGAAACGATTTGAATATTCATTGAGCGTACAGGAAAAGTTCAGTATTGCAACTTGTTTACTTCCATTAGCTTATGGCGACTATTTTCAAGAAAACTGAATATGTTAGTGCTAAAATTGCGTATGTTAGTTTTCGACCACACTCACAACATCATGTATTATTGTAGACTATAAAAATACAGACAATTTCAAACCTTTTTTCTATAGAAAGCTCTATAGGGATTAAAAATAACTACTTGGCTGAGTACTTGGTATCAGGTGTAGATAACTTGATTGAATACAAGAATACAAGACACTTACTTTATTGAAATTCAAGTACAACTAAACCGACTATTTACGACTTGATACCACACTTTCCTTTAGTTTACACTGCCGAAACACTGTTATAAAAACATATTGACATCTCTTTCATTCTCTTAAATAACAGTGAGATAGTTTTAGACATGCACCCAGTTAGTGTTGGTTACTGTATTTTGACGTCGCTCTGTGCACGTGACTGTTTTACGCGATTACTGTTATTGTATTTTTAAAAAGTTAAGAAAAATGCTCTTGGCATCGACCTAGTATCGTTTGAGTCGAATTAAGATGATGTGATTGTAGTAGAAAATTAAATATAATAAATTAGCATAAAAATATAACAACGATCAAGCCTTACTAAAAATGCTTACTTTAAAACCGTTGCTTGTAGATTTCTCATACTAAAAGTACATTAAGCGAAAAAGACAAGGAGAGTTAAAGTCTAATTAAACGTCTCGATTCTCTCCCTACTCTAGGATACTTTTTACTGCTTGTGTTTATTCATGAAAAGATGCTCAATGCATGTATACGATGAAAGATGGGAAACTTTTAATGTGTCATCATATTCCTTTGGGAATTATTAAAATATATATAGCATAGGAGTTGCTGCGACAGCTCTTAAACTATACGACTACGATATAATTCAGTCATGACGGACGACCTTTAAAACGGCAGACTTTAAAGTTCAGATTTTAGATGCAGTAAAAATACTCCTTATATTAAAGCCGAAAAGGTACAAGAAATGACCATAATCAAATAAAATTAAAAATTACTAATTGGTAATACAGTAAGATTACCAAACCAGATATGAGAGATTACCATATTACATACAATATTACCAATAAATCTATGTGTCGTATAAAGGTATGATGACGCGTCCCGTTATGTTATTCGACACCTATGTACCATGATGATAAAGTATCGCCATTTGTAGATCTGGTAATACTGGATATTACTTACTTACGAAGAAGCAGCGTAACAATAAAAATACTATTACCATAGCTTTATGCTAGGTGAAAGAAAAAAAAATATAGGCGTTGATACAATCTTTGAGTCAAAAAATGTGGGGGAACTTCCTCAGATATACAATACCAATGTTTCATCATGTGAAATGAGATAATATTTTTATGAAATAAATATTGTTAGCAAACATGATTATGTTAGCTTTCCTATCAAGATGAAATTCATTCTGTTACCAAAAGTGTGAACGTTATAAAAACAGACGGACGGACAACAAAGTGATCCTATAAGGGTTCGGTTTCTATCCTATGAGGTACGGAACCCGAAAAATTTATAAAATTAAATAAAAAAGTCATAAACACTTTTCGATAGACAAGCATAAACTATAATATTTGATAAAAATATGTTTCATCTGGTTAGCAGATGGGTGAAGGTCGTTCTTCCATGTCTCCTGTACTATAATTTCTAACAACTGAGATACAAAGATGCTTATTACGTAAATAAAATATATGTTATTTTAATTATAACATCGCTCAATAACTCATAACACCCGCTGAGTATATTTCACGTATGAATTGTTTTCATCATTGTATGTTACCGTAGCCATCCACTGCCGGAATACCTGTACAAAAATATATTGTTGTGTTTGTTTTTTCTAAGAAAATGAAAGGGACGACAACTCTTTTTGCGCAAGTGTTCTTCCAGTTAAAACCAACGTTAAGTATGTTCAGTATTATTGACAGCACTTTATCCATTCTAATATCCAGAAATGGATAGATCGACAGAAGGATGGTGTAAATTTTTAAATTTTACTAAAATTATATAATGTTTTATTTTATTTGAGAAATCTAATTTTTTCCTTATAGTTGTAATACGACAAATATTTTCCTGTAAATCCGTCAAAGTGTTATTCAGAAAAAATCTGATAATATTTCTGAGAAATAATTTTAAATCTTATTTCAAAACAAGATGTTCTTCAACAAACAAATCACATGAATTTTTTTTCGGTGATCGAAACAGTGAAGATGATGAAAGAAAATTAATTAAATTATTTGAATTATAATAACCGTAAACATTTTTCAATGAATAATATTAATATATTGATTGAATATGATCGATTAAATATAATATTTGATAAAAAAATATGCTTCATCTGATTATCACATGGGTGAAGGTTGACATATAATGGCCTACTATATCCATGGTAAGGTAAGATGGTAGGTGTCTTTTAAATACGTCACATGATATAGGAGCGTCGGTGGCTCAGTGGTCAAGCAAATGACTCGCAATCTAAAGATCCTAGGTTCGAATCCCGCCATGTACCAATGTGTTTTTCGATTTCCGATTTACATATGCACATTTATCCGACGTTCTTACGGCGAAGGAAAACATTGTGATGCAACCTGCACATATCTGAGAAGAAATTCAAAGATATGTGTGAAGTCAACCAACCCACACTTGGCCAGCGTGGGTGACTATGGCCTAATCAACCCTAACTTAGTGTAGGCTCCGAGCCCCTCGGTGGAGACGTATGAGCTGATGATGATGATGACATGATCTGTGTTTTCGTACTAGAAAGGAATAATTAAATTACATCTAAAGGTGATTCAGAAACTAATTTGTATCATTCGATGAATAGTTGATGGATTTGTTGAATAAGCAAATTGGTTCATTGACATGGCTCATTGCCTAAGTCGTGCCACTCCCAGCAACATAAAACCTACTCTCATTAACACTCCCGAAAAATTTTATTACCAGCAAACAAGTACGGTCTATGTAAATTACAAGTAATATTGGTAACTTGATCCTAGGATATACGTGTACGGTATGTGTACCAAATGACTGTTTATGTTGTGACCTTTGGGCTTTTAGTAGTAAGACTCGCTGAGGGGAAATTTGACTTTGAAAATTTGAGATAACTAATGAGTAGTTGCGTAGATGTTAGACTGTAGAAGTAACGATACTGATATGCTAAAGAGTAACCTTTAATTCTCACCCTACTAATATGTTTTAGAATTATGAATGCTTTTTTATTTGTTAGTAAGTCTTTATAGTATCCCAAACTGCTATTCTGGATTGACAATTGGTGTTTTTCTAAAGATACTTTCACGAATATAGTTTCGTGTACAAATCATATTAACAATGTTAATTTATATATGTACATATATCTTTCTACATAGCAATGTATCCATTAAAATCGTGGATCAGAATAGCTATAGAAGATCCGGAGCTGCTGTAAAGTTATTTGAAAGAAAAATAACTGACTAATGTTAAAGGAATTTTATGAGACCAATTTAAATAAATACAAATCTAAATTATTATGTACTGCGTAGACTTCAGTTTGGAAACGAAATAATTCAAGCAGTGTTATATGAAGTGCGAAGTGAACTACATTTGTACGTCGATAACAAATTACATTATTATATTCTTTGTTCAATGATTTTTTTTAATTCTTTCTTCTCTTAATTTAACTGAAAGTGTTGCACCAATTAAAAAAATCAATCTTTTTAACAACTTAATTAACTTACTTTTTAAAGACATTTGGAAATAGACACTTTTTTGGGAGTTACTTTTTGATACACATTTTTCTATTTGGCACATAATCATTTTTCTTTATGCTAGAACACGAACAAAGATAAAGGAAAAAATATATCGATAAAATACTCGTAGTGAACATTGCCTCTGTCACCTCACTCATTCCTTACTAGCTGTAAACCGCGACTTCGTCCGCGCAAAATTATTATTAAAAAAAACAAAATTAGTAGCCTATGTTTTCCAGGCTAAGTTCTATATGTAAGCCAAATTTCATCGAGATCCGTTCAAACAAGCATCCATCTATCCAAACATTCGCATTTATAATATTAGTAAGATTACGTTAAAATGTTAACCCTTCAATATCACACAGCATACAAGTATCAAATATTTTTAGTCGTAGTATATCGTGTAATAGTAGTATCAAAAATGTGTAGTTGCGTAGGTAGCCAACTTCCGACAATATTATTTCTTGTATATTGTATATTTTAGCGAAGTCAATGTATATTTTATTCCTACAAGATTGTACATAAATCCACTGATTGCTTATAAGCTTTTACCAATTATCTACACACCGGATATTTCTTTTAGTATAACTCAGTAAGAATATCAACGTATACTTTTAATAGTGTTTCACTTTTACATCTGCTATTAATAATAATAAAATAATACAGATTAAAAACAAATCGAACTAATCAGTAAATATGGAGAATTTCATAGACGCAGAACAAAAAAAAAATTGGCATTTTCTATATTTTAATTTTAAATATTTTTTTATTATTAGTAGTCGACGGCAATCGTACAATCGTTATATGTAACATTCTGGAATACACTTCAAACGAAGTTACTAGCTAGTATTTCAAAGGTAGCTACTCTATGCTCTTTTCACAATAATGCCGTCTGACATTGTATAATATTTCTTACCGAACAAATGATTCGGCGCGCTCTTGTTGCTCTCTCACATGTTCCTATAATACATTATTACAATTTCTTATTGTTATAGGATTACCTTTTAACATTTCCAAAAGATTTAGATTTTTAAAATAGGTACATCTTATAAAAGAAAAGCATTTATTGGCAATTCCTCTGGTGTTTCGGACGTCCATGAGTGTTGATGATGTCCTCAGTGTTTCCGCCGCTCGTTTATAGCCTTCTCTTATCGTTTAAAGATATAACTTAATTAAATGTAAATGAAAAGCAGAATTTCTTAACATCTTAGCACTGGATATACAAACTCTAGTAGGTTTTTTGTAAAAGATTGCTGTCTCCACCTAACATAGAAGGAATTAAGGAAAAGCTTCTAAGCCTTTATAATTAAATATTATCTTTCCCTCTGTGAAAAATGCCAACCATTACTAAATGATCAATACAAAACTTTCTTAGCATGACAACAACTCCTTTGTTAATTAAGGTCTTCGAATAATTGGCACTCGCTTGCAGACTTTTTATTTTCTTATAAATCTTATAATCCTGTTTTAATTAATTAATTTGTTGTTTGTTTACATTTTAAGGGATTAGTCGTTACTGAAGATCGTTAAGGATTTTTAAAGAAAAACAACATTTTAATATCTGTTTGTTTTTCTGAATATTTTTTTTTATTTTTTATATCTGACGCTTGAGCACGATCCCATCTGATGTTAAGTGATGATGTGGTCGAAAGTAGATACTCGCTAGCTTAGTAAATGCCCATTCACTCTACTCTTGAAGGCTCCCATGTCATACTTGGATGGAAAAACAGACGCTGGCAACTTGTTTCAATCCTTTGCAGTAAGGATGATGAATCAAACAAGAATATCTGGCCGATATGATGCAAGTTATACCAATTCCGTTCCTTTCTTTTGTTTCACTTACACACTTCATCTATATCGTTGGCTTTCATACTCTTGGAATTTATTGAATTTGACTTTAATCCTATGTAAACGTACAGTATGATCAAAGGACTATCGTAATCCTCTTTTCGTTTACAGGATAAACTCAATAAAGAAATCGGAATAGAAATTAATAAGCGCTACGCAGTGTTTAAACGTTCTGTACGACCGCCTCGCCTTACGAGTAAAAGAAAAAAGCCAAACCATGGAACGTGTTAAATCCCTGATATACCGATATTAGTACGAAACCCTAAAGCTTTCCATATCTGATAGGTGGAGGGTTAGTGGTAAAAAAATGTTATTTTTTATCAAACTTAGAACACACTAATGGAATCGAATCACTTATTTGGCACTAATGAAAGTTCAGTGTAATATAGTTTGATATTTTAAGTTTGAATTTAAAAAAGAATAAGAAAGTACTTCTAATTTTTGGAACATTGGAACCCAAAATATTTTAATTCATAATTATGACTAAGGCGAGTTACAACGCACGGAAATAATGATTAGATTCAGCGAATTTAAAATTATTTATATGTTAATATCATTAGGGCAGGATGAGCCAAGCGATAAGCGAATAAACTCAGGAAGCCGATAAATTATAATCAACAAGCTACCAAAGCAAAGAGATGTCAAAGTGTTACCTAACATTACTGACCGCAGTCGTGATAAACTATAACTTTCAATTTGAAATAATCTTGGCAAAGATAGTAAGATTACTTTATTTTCTAGATTTAAAATTTAAAAATCCAAAATCGATAGGATTTACAGTTATAACTTACTAACAAATATATGAGGACTGTTAGAAAAATAGCTAGTAAAAGCAATAGCCCGTAGTCGTCCCCCGTCATGTTAACAGTGCCACGATTTCCTTTTCGGGTTGTAGTTACCTCGTCGTGTATTACATTTGTGTGATTTTTGATGTGTCATGTTTGACTGTACTAATCGTGGTACTTAGTACACACACTTTTCGCAGTCCAGATAATTCTGTGGGGCGTACTTACGATACCATTTTTTTGTTACAGTTTCACACTTGCTTCATTCTAATCCGGCAAGACGGGCGCAAAACTGTCGGCGTCAGAGGAACAAGATGAATTGCTACGGCTCAAACGGGCCTGCGTCCAGAAGTTTGCGGACTTTGCCTACAAGGCGGGTGAGGAATTGGCATTATATTAATTAGTAAACAGCAGCTACATGCTTTTCAGTTGAGAGGCACTAAATGTTAATTGGCAGCATATACCTAAAGACTGATGGCTTGACCACTTGTCAGATATTAAAGCCTTAGGAGAAACGATTAAAATAATAGAAAACAACCAAGCTACGTCTCTTACTTATTAGCATACGATGAAAATCATACCTTCTACTCACTTATTTCACACCATTCAGTCGAAATAATGGATGTCAAGCGCAAATATGTACCACGGAAAGTAACCCCTTTAGTAGTACTTGGAAAAAATAGCAACTATTGTTGCGTTTTATTGGCTTAGCTTCAGTAATAAATAGAAAGAAAAATTACTTATTGTAATCCCTAATTATTTGTATAACAAGAAATTATACATATTTAGTAATAGCAACACCGGAACACCAATTAATTAGAGGTTCCAATTACAAGGTAAGTCAAACGATACCTTTACCTAAATGAACAATTACTTGTACTGTAATATAGTAATAATTTATTTTCTATTATAATTAAATATATTTTAACAGTGGTAGAGCCCGCTTTAACATCTTCGCACGAATTGTCCCGGCTCGCCCGGTGAAATACCACGACCACACAGAAGACAGCCGTCAAGTGGAAGCAATTCCGCGTTTCGTCAGAAGAGTGTGCGTCCCGGAGGCCTAATTTAGTCCTCTTTCCCTTCCCATCCTGTTTCTTATAAGGAAAGGATGGGTAGTGGAAGTGAACTCTCCGGATGATAGGATACACGGAAAGGGAAAATGTTTTCTTTATGTGCATCCTCTCCTCCGTCGGTTAAAGGTAGAGGCAACGCATATGTCTATGGGCAACGGTCCCATCGCTATTTCAGCGCTTTCAGGTGGCCGCCGGCTCGTTTGCTACCTTATGATAAAAAAATTACTATCACTATCAATGTAAAAAAGCGAACGCACTAACATACAAAACTATATGTTACTATTAGCATTTTATTTAGATTATTTTTAACTAACTTCGTAACGTAACTTTCTAAGTAAATAAAAATTTGCCTATGGGTCGATATAGGTTCCTGAAAATCCCAAACAATCCCCTTTAAGGTTTGTCTAAAAATCTTAAACGGGATTTTGTTAGTGAATTTTTTTTTAATATCATGTTGATTAATTAGCATTTGATCGTTATTTTGGCATAGCAACATATGTTGGGTTCATCTACTTTTATAAAAAGTAGATGAACCCAACATCATATACTATAAAAAGATTAGAAAAAATATGTCTAGTAATGTATACGTGCATAAAAAATATTTATGTTAGATTACCGATGACGCAGAAATATTATAAATAGAACAGAGAAAATCTCAAAAATGTGTACTACTTTATAAACATGAATAGATTTCGTTACATTGTTTAAAACACAGAGGTACAATATTGTCTAGATCTGAATGTGAATCATAACAGAACATACATTTAATACGATTGATTTTTTACATACATTTCGATATGACACTAACTAAATTTATATGAATAAAAAAATAAACTAATGACCGCTCGTATAGTTTTAAGGTATTCCCTGCGCCCTTTGCGAGATTTTTGTGGCGTCACCTTTTTTTTATTTTGTCGGGGGAAATCTTCCAAGGGCACCTTAGGTGACAAAGCAGGCCTCGCAATGCACGACTCAGGCGCCTGCGACGCCCCCTTATGCTCGGCGCCCTGGGCGGTCGCCCCATTTAGTACTACCCTAACACCGCTACTGTAAGTTCTGGAATCACAATATTGGATCTTAAGATGAATTATGTCATTTACAACAAAACTGCAAGTCCTATGTTCCCTTCCAAATCCTCACAAAAAGCGATGAAAATATATTTTAGTACTTGTACATATATAAAGGTGTGTGGGCAGTTGCGACCCTTAGACATATAAGCAGCTTGTGATATTCTATTTGAGTAAAATATTTTAAAAGAACATAAAGTTGTCTATAAAAGTCTTTGTAACATAAAGACTTTTAGAGTAAAAATAAGTACCTTATTATTATATAACTAAGTACTTAGCTTTTAAAATAGATCAAAAACATTCATTCTATTCCTTAAATTGAATTATTTAATATACTGATTACAAAGCTTTATTATGTTACGAATATATTGCTTCGAAGTAAAACTTGACAGAAATAGTGTCTCGTGTTTTCTTATAAGTAAAAATCAATGTTTGAATGAAGTCAAAGACGATGGTTCAGGGGTTCGATTTCAGCCGTATACCAATGTGTTTTTGGTTTTTCGATTTACGAATCCGAATTTGTAGGTCATCGAAATAACGCAACCTGCACATATCTGTGAAGAAATTCAATGATATTTGTGTTGCGAAGTTAACTATGGCCAACTCACCCCTATTTTAGAGTAGGCTATGTACCCCTCAGTGGGGACGTATAGTGAGCTGATGATAAAGACGATGACGGGTAAAATATTTAATAATTAATTTAAACTGTATAATTGTTATTAATTGAACTAATATGAATTTGCATTTCTATGATTTTTATGTGAAATTACAGATTGCATAACTTTGTATTCGTAAAAGCACTCACAACATTCTTGAGCGAAACGTTCATAACCACGTGACAAATTATTCGACACATTATTTTAAATACACTTGCAACAAAATACGTCTCTTGAGAAGTTGAATTAAAAGAAAACTGTTAAAACAAATGCAGTTTAGAGTGAGTTTTCACTATTACATAGAACCTGTAGCAAAAATGTTGCTATCTCTGTTAATCTCTTTAAAAAAACAGAGATGACAAGAACTTTGTTGTGACGGTTAAAATTCACTGTCACCGCGATATATCCACCAAGAATAGTTACTAAAGATAAAGAATAAAAAGTTGAAAACTTGTATTACCGACCTCTCTCTAAAATGGATCATGATTTTCGATTTCTATTTTCTTTATATTCAGTTCGCTTTTTATACTAAAAGTATAGGATTAATTAAAATACCACTTATTAGTATAAATAAATAGTAAACATTAGTATAAATAGTTTGAGATCGATTATCGAATGCAGCCGTAACTTGTTGTCGAAGGAATCTTTAGCATTTTAACAGTGGTAGAGCCCGCTTTAACATCTTCGCACACGTGAAAAACCACGACCACACAGAAGACAGGCGTGAAGTGGAAGCAATTCCGCGTTTCGCCCGTTTGCGTCCCAGAGGCTTAATTGAGTCCCTTCCCTTCCCACCCATTTTCTAATAAGGAAAGGATGGGAAGTGAAAGTGGACTTTCCGGATGAGAGGATGCATGGGAAGAGAAAATATTTTATTTCTGTGCATCCTCTCCTCCGTCGATTAAAGGTAGGCAACGCATATGCAATTGCGTTGCCCATAGACATCTATGGGCAACGGTCACTTCGCTATTTCAGGCCGCTCGCTCGTTTGCCACCATATAATATAAAAAAAAATCATTATAATAAAATGATACGACAAAAGTGTGTTTCCCCGTAAAATTTGAGGATAAGAATCGCGGAATGGTGTGTAAGGCTTATTATGATAATATGATATTTTATTTTCCGAGTGGACGGCATCCATTTGTAAATCAAAAGAGCTTCGAGTCTTATTGAATGAGGTAATTTTAACTTTGAATAACATAAACTTATATATGTAAATTCAATAATTGATAGATTCTATTATAAATTTAAAATAATATACATGTCATTAAGAGCAAAGCGTAGACGTAGTTGTTTGAATGTGAAGCGAAACGTATGCCAAAAACTCGCTAAATGAAAATAGCTGTCCAGTAATTATATCGGTAATCGATAATCTTATCTTATATATAAAATTCTCGTGTCCTTGCTTGCTCCTGGCTTGACCGATTCTCATGAAATTTTGTGAGCATATTAAATAGGTCTGATCGGCTACTATCTATTTTTTAATACCACGCGGACAGAGTCGCGGGCTACAGCTAGTAAGATATAGAATTTAAAAACGCATATAATATTATACTCCAGCAAACACAGTATTCCATTTGGCAAACATCTTTCCCAATTTGTATACATCTACGTATCTACTTCTAGCTCGCGTAGTAATTTTTTTATTACCATTAAATATAATTTATATCTCAATGATATATTTGATGAGATAAAAATAAATATGCGTTCTAATAAATTACGCAACGTATTATTTATACAAGTATCGTAAACCTATAAGTACAAGAGCTAAATTTGTAACACTCAAACTGCTGCGGACATGTTTTAGTTCAAACATCGACGTTGTAAAAATCAATAATCAAAAGACAAAATCGCGTCAATAAGTACATACTTACCTATCGTAATTTACGAGATCACGTTGAACTATTAGCTGTTATAGTTTTTGATAAGTAAGCAGAGAGATCAGGGTTTGATTTTTAATCTTTTTATTGAACATAATTTTATTTTGTTGACGATGTTTCCTACTCTCTAAGAGATGGCGCTGTTGTGAAACCTCCTTAAACTGCATCTCGGTTGTAAGAATCGTGTCTCGCAATATAAACTTTTTTGCGGTATATGTAAAAAGTTTTCACGTTTTGCTAGTTGCCTGTAAGTTTTTGACTATTTTTTTTCTTTCTTATCTCATTTTAATTTGTTAATTTGGTTGCCGCTAATAATCGTCGTTGGAATAAATTGTAGTTGCCAATGTTTTTTTATTTATGACTTTATGAGTCGAGTCTTGTTCGTTTGATATTGAACCAGAGATTTTATAAAGCACTTTTCATTTAAATATTTTGTTATATCACAAAATGTTTTAGTGATAAAATAGATCACGGACACAAAAAAAAAAGTTATAGTCAAACAAAGAAGTCGATGGCGCTCGAAAGAAGCGCTGTTATTGCGATCGGTTCTGTCTCAATATTTAAAAAACCTTAAACATACAAAATGACATAAAAAATAAAATGACATGACATCTGCAGTATAAAGCTATGATGTTGTGAGATTTTTCGACGTTGACTGGGGGTCGCTAGTGAGTTGTCATAATTTAGTTTAACTTTGCTTACCGGTTTAGTTATAATATATAATCTTTTCTATATAAATTCGAAGAAACGATTTCTTTTTTCTGAGTAGGCATTTGTTTTTGTTGGCATCTATGAGACACCTTTGATTGTGACAAATAAAAATAGTATTACATGTTATTTTAATTGAAATAAATCATTGCAGAGCTATACGCAAGATTTATAAAAGAAATAAGGTCTAGTTCAAGTTCGTTTTGAAAACTACAAAAGTCTGGATCTTTCCTAATCTGTCTCATTTGATATTGAATCAATTTATTCATATTATTTTATGGATTTATTGCTTTCCACTGTGATTTGAACTATGGGTGAGGAAGAAGCGGCGACTCTTGAGGGTCAGTTCTACGAATTCTCGCGTTTGTTCGATAACAAAAGAGATGGTACCACCATCACGCTGTATAGGTTCGACTATTGGTTGAGACAGACGAAACTGCTGGATGATCGGAAAGTCACTATGACTGATACAGGAATTTTATTTAATAAGTTTAAGTAAGTGTATTGAACAATGTTTGTTGAATAACCTAAGGAGGGTTAAGAAAAGGTCAATTTCCTATTATCCTTTTCATTGTCATCTTGATGAAATGTCTTTTTTTATATGGGAAGGTGTAAAGGCGTAAAGTCGAAGTTGAATTTCAAAATTTAATAATTTGTTTAAATAAATGTTGAATGTTAATATTTTGCAGTAAAACAGAATTGAACTGGGATGAATGGATGGAGTTTCTCGAAGATCTGTGTGAACTGAAGGAAATGGACTTGGAAAAAACTAAAGAAACTTTAACTAATTGTGGACTTCCAGGGCAAACTCCGGTTAATGTGCCTCAATATAGAGACTTCTTCTTAACATATAAACCAAAGGAAAAAATGATATTTTAAGTTAAAACTATAGGATATTTTAATTAAGAATTATAAGTAAAACTATATATTAATTTTATTTGTCTTATTTAATAAACTATTGCATTACTATTTTCTACTCTATTATTTTATTTTATTCAATACGGACTTTTATATCTTGTTTGCTGAGACTGTATATTTATGGCAGGCCCTGGTAGGGCGACAAGAATTTTCAATAACGTATTTTATTTATTCTTTTATTAATGTCTATCATGTAAAAAAGAAATTTGCATTCTTACGAAATATTACATATGTTTTATACTACACCTATTTACTTTGTTATATCTGCGCTTGTAAGTGATCGTTTCCATTAGGTATCTGTTTTTTGGTAACTATGCGACGCTTATGACTGTGACATAAAGACATAAAATTACTCAAAAACCATTCACTTCATTTAATTTATCTTCAATATTTTTACACAGCTGTTAACTATTACACAGTTTTATACCTACCAAAGCCACCAGTTCATATTCATTTTGAAGAAATTCGAAATCTTTCTACGTCTCATTTGGTATTGGAACAATTTGTTTATATTACATTTTTAATACATTCCACATTGTAGGTACCTAAAATTCATTTTGAAGTTTTGTCAGATTCCGAAACATAATTTATGGGTGAAGAGGAAGCGGCGACTCTTGAGGGTCAGTTCTACGAATTCTCGAAACTGTTAGACAATAAAAGAGATGGTACCACAATTACTCTATACAGATTCGATTACTGGTTGAGACAGACGAAAATACTAGACGATCGAAAAGTTACTATGACTGATACTGGAATAGCATTTAATAAGTTCAAGTAAGTGTTTTGAACAATATTTGCTCATTAGCTAGAGGAGAGGCTAACTTGAAAAATTACATTTCCTTTCTACACCACTCGTCTCTTTGATAATCAATACATCCTCGAGGAAAAGGTGGATTGAGTAAGAGGTCCAGAACTGCCTCTAGCTCTTCAAATATGGGACTGAGCACAAAATACTCTACTCTCACATGTCTTCTGTGAGGTCGTGGTTTTAATCCAATTGAAAGCAGTCAACACACAAATATTGCAATATGTCACTGTTAGTTCTCAATATTTTTAAATTTATCATATTTGCAGCAAAACAGAGTTGAACTGGGATGAATTTTTGGAATTCCTCGAAGATTTGTGTGAACTGAAAGATATGGACCTTGAAAAAACCAAGGAAACTCTCACTAACTGCGGACTTCCGGGACAATTACCAGTCGCTGTTCCTCAATTTAGAGACTACTTTTTAACATATAAACCAAAAGAAAAATCGGCTTATTAAAATAGTTAACCATTCCTTGGCTTAGACAAAACAAGAGTTTTAGATTTATAGATATACTTGAATTATAGATATATTTAATTATAATTTAATATTTTAATTTAGAAATAAAATGTATTAATTAATTCATTTCTTTTATTTATTATTCAATTCCCAATCCTCCATTAGTTGATTTTATTCCGATGGAGAGTTTACATTGTTGTTTGCTGAGATGATGCGATGCATTAACGCGTCGATGGAGTGGTAACGAAAATATCAATAGTATACAAAAATGTGTATATTTTGTTTAGAATTATCTTTACTTCAACTACCTGGCTTTGCAACATTTTATCATTTTTTTTGTTTGAAAAGATACGGTCTTAAAGCTTACAGTAATACGTAATCATTCACAACGTTATTTGAGTGCCTCTTGATAGCATCAAGAGTACAAATAAGAAAATGTTTCGTACTTTATTATTTTAACGAGAAAAGCAGCTTATGAATAATCAATAGCGTTTCACCGTCGGAGCGGCAATTGGCTGGTACAAGATAAAAATATTAAAATGTTATGTTTTAGACCTGTATTGTTTTAAACCAAACAATATTGTTGGCTTATTCATGTTATCAATGAATTACATTGAGCTATACTCAGAGTAACGACAAACACAACAATGTGCTGCGTTAGTTGCCGCACAAATCGTTACCTCATAAGATTTGCAACTAAACAAATAGCAATACGCGACCGCTTTTACTACCAATAGTGAAGATGCCAATAAAAATGGGAACAACTTCTGTAGAAAAGTTAAATGATTATATGATAATTTCAGAAACGACGTACTGCAATGCAACGCACGACACGTTCTTGTGCTGGCCGCCGACGCCTGCGGGTGAAATCGCCTCACAAAACTGCCCACCAGCAAGACTTAGCGACACATCACGTTAGTATAATATAATTCTACGTAGCAATAATATTTCCTTAGCATGTTTAAAGAAATTTTCCACAAACTGTTCATCGGATAGGTACTTAATTATTTTTACTATTGGTGCGAGAAGTATGGTCTTTGGCTGTTCGAGTCTGTTCGTCGAATCATAGTAGAATACGACAATTAAAATAATGTTCGTCTTTTAGTCAAAAGTATGCGATGTTTTAACCTTGACTTATTTGTTTCAGGTCTTGCATTTCGTCGGTGCGGTGATTCCGGCCTTTGGCTAGGTCGACGGCCGAACGAAAGCAGCGTCATCGGATGGACAAACTACACGCCTTGTTTTCCGCCAGAAGTTCAGACGCTCCTAGTTAAAGTTTACGATGACGAGAAGGAAGCACAGGTAAGCAGTTACATTTTTATATAAATACATTTTATTGGTTGAAGACAAAATAGGCTCAATCAGGATATCTAGTAAATCAAAAACATTTTTAAATTATCGTTTAAAGTTTTAACACAATAAGAAGCCTTTAGATTTATTTTTCTTTTAATGTAATTATTTAAATACATAATTTTGTTTTAGGACACAAGTTAGTTTGACTCTGGTTTTCAGAAATATATGAATGTAATTTATTTATATAAATAGCTTTAGAATAAATTTATATTGAACATCTTGCATCTTCGGTTCAACGCATCTTGTATTTATCGAGTTATATTTAACTCTCTAATGGCCGTGTGTAAATTGCTTTGAGACTTTTGGAAACTAGTAATTGCGCAGTGGAAATGAAGATACAGCTTTGCTGAACTTATCGCTTCAAAGGCAACTGCACGAAATAATCATATTCATATTATAAATGGGATAGTGTACACTATTACTGATTATGGGCAGGAGTCGCCTCGCTATTACGGCGAATTCATTTGCCCGCTTGTTCGTTTGTCACCTTACAATATTTAAAAAGAAACCTGTTAAATTAGCGATTATAGCGACCAGTACGAAATCTAATACACTGCAAATTAATTACAAAATTTAACTAAAGAATCAAAGCTTTGTTTAACAAAAATCAATTTATTAATACCTAAAAATCTTTAACCATAATTGACATCGTTGACCTCAAAGAATTAGAGCTTAAAATATTTTAAGCTCTAATTCTTTGAGGTCAGGTAATTATGGGTTAATGGAATTCCCGTTGATCGCAAAAAATACGCCATTTTTCTTAGGGTTAAATAAATGACATTGTTTAATTTATGATCGGAATAATCCTTGTTAACCCTTAGATATTCTACCAATTTAATAACAAATAAATGTACATTCAAACTTTATGTCAGCTCGCCTCGTCTAAAACATTACGAATACATTGTATAAATCGGCGGGATGGGTAAAAGGTACTTTCAAAGAAATGTGCTAGCAGCTCTAAAATGAGTCGCTAGAAAGTTTGAATCTTATAATATAATACTTGTTTCAGTTAAAATTCGAGATTGCTCAGCGGACGAGGTACATGGAGATAGTGGGGTTTAGCATTTCAATGTTGGCTTTGATCATATCTTTGATCATATTCTCCTACTACAGGTAAATGTGTTTACAATATACAATATTACAAAATAAATAAACGATTGCATATTCCAAGCACAATGCGAATACAATAAACTACGCGAACAATTTATTTTAAGGGGGATATATGCGAAATGTTTGGAAAAATTCGCTAGCGATTTTTTTTTCTTAAATAAAGCTTGCTTATGTTAACACGCACCATGCTACGAATATTCTTATGATAAAGAACTCGGCAGGTGACTGTGGCATATAAAGTGTTATAACATTTGAATAGTATTTTTTATTTGTTTTAGGTCTTTACGTAACAATAGAACTAGAATCCACAAAAGTCTGTTCTGCGCGATGTTGGTGCAAGTCATAATAAGGTTGACGGTGTACATCGATCAGGCACTCATCAGGAGTCGACAGGACCACTTAATCAACGAGAACTTCACTCTTAAAGGGATAGATAATATGGTAAAAACATTCCCAAAAGGCGTAGTAGAAATATCCATTTGCACTTATTTCTCCGCTTTTTTTATTATTAATGTCAATGCTTCCCTTTTCTACTGTTTATAGTAAGATATATATTAAAATGTAGCAATAATTTACTATGCAATATATACTTTATGAGAAAAACTTACCTTACATTTTATTCACGTCTATATAAAAGATCAATTAAGTATTTTGTCGTTCATGATTCATTGACCTCACGAATTAAAGGTCAGTACAAACATATTTTAAGAACACTCCTATTTTTAAAGGCACTTTAAAATCCTTGAAATTATAAGCCTGGCCACAACGCAATTCTTTATCCGACGAAAGCTTGCTAAATTTCTGACACTGCATCTAACTGAACATTTCAGTTTACTTCTATTATATTAATAATAATTATAACTAAATATACTAAAGAGCGATGAAATATGCGATTTAAAACACCTTGTTATTTGTGAAATTGTGTTTTAAAAACCAGCCTGCGCGACTACAATTTGCTTATGCGAAATGTTAAATCCATATTATTTTTGTTTATTTAAATGCTCCAACTATGTTATACAAAAAGTTGTTATTAACTAAATATGTCTAACTAATAATATAAATGCGAAAGTTTAGATGTTTGTTACAATGTTTAAATTTGGAACAGAGATTGATTATAGTTTGGAATAGCTCATTTATTTTTTCATTCCACGTAGACGAAGCCGCGGGCGTCTAATGATACAAAAATTTGATAATGCGTTCTTTTTCAGCCGTATCTTTGCGAATCTTCATACGTGCTATTGGAATATGCTATAACGGTGATGTTCATGTGGATGTTTATCGAAGGCCTATACTTACACAACGTGGTGACAGCGAACGCACTCAGGGAGAAAATATCCTACCTTTTGTACTACGCCACGGGATGGGGGGTGCCTTTTGTGGTCACCGCGATCTGGGCCACCATGACCTCTTTGCACTACCAACGGGAGAGATTTAAGACGTAAGTGTTTAATAAAAACAAACTCTAGTCGACAAGAATTTTAGTTTTATTGAATAATCGTTTGCGCTTTTTTCGATATTATCTTACATATAAAATTCTCGTGTCACAATTTTCGTTCCCATACTTCTCCGAAACGGCTTGACCGATTCTCATGAAATTTTGTGAGCATATTGAGTAGGTCTGAGAATCGGCCAACATCTATTTTTAATCCCACGCGGACGGAGTCGCGGGCGACAGGTAGTATCGGTCTAAGTGTGTTAGAACTCTTTACTTTCTTGAAATGTTACTTACAATTCTTTGAAGTATATGACAGACTGCTATAGTAGGTTAAAAACATTGAGTAAATACACATCACAATCTCATTTAAAAGAGATACAAAGCAGTCTGGTGTATTTTATTTATTCCCATAATATACAGTAAAGCAACGTATCCGGTCATACTCATCAAAATGTCGTAAAAATCTAAACAAAGTCGGCGTCAATCGGCAGGCAATAGTTCAGACCGCAGGCCGGCAGTGCGGCGTATTTAGAGTGGCGTGATTCAACTCTCAGAGCGATATGTTTATATTTCCCAGGTGTTGGTATGGATACAATTTCAGCCCACTCTACTGGATCGTGCAAGGACCCCGGCTGGCCGTCATATTGGTAAGCTAATGTTTATAACTATGGGTGTTTTCTGTCTGAATTGTATTGAATCATATTATCGTCCCTCGCATTGTCTTTGGAAGAAACAGAGATAACAATATGTCCATACAAGTATCATGACAGTAGAATTACAGTAATTTGGATTGGTTGGAAAACACACAAATTAATCAAAGCCTATGACCTCCCAGAGACAAATACGATATCATGATTAAAATAACTGAAAACGACAAGTATATACCATAAACAATGGACTTAAAGCTATGTGTCTAAAACCACCGGAACTCTTTATCTGTTGTCGCCAACAGCGAACCGGATTAGTGTACACGACAATACACATTAAGCTGTTGTTATTTCAAAGGCACTCTTCAATGAAAAGAGTTACATCTCTTAGGATATCCCATAAGAGATGTAACCCTTTTCTTCAGATAGGTCGATTCTCATATGTTTAAAAACATTACTAAATTCAAATTAACTTTATGTAAAGTTGAAAACGGGTTGCTGAATGTGCGTTTACACACGTGTTTAAAAGCTCTTGATAAACGATGGAAGTTTTCCAATACATACGCTAAATCTGTTTGTTGTAATTTATTCGTAGCGTTATATTAACATAAATAATTGTATTTATAACAAGTAATAAATAACGCAAGTACATAGTACTCATTGAGTTATGGTTTAAAATCAATTATTGAATCTTTTCTTTTTTCTAACATTGATAAAGATACCTCCAGCTCTTCTTATATGGAACATTTATAAAACAGATCGTACGAAAATCTCTGTATTTGTATTTAACCATAGATGTTTAAAGTTCGACCTATTTTTTTATTTTATTTTTTAATATCGATTTAATTTATATGATTCATATATATTTATTTTATTGCATTAAAGTTAGTTTACTCTATCGTCTGGTCGTCAGATGTTTTTATTTATGCTGAATTAATTAATTAGTATCACGTGTAGACGAGACAATGTGATCAAAATGATATAGGATCTTGGTTCATTAAAATATGCTAATTTTATATGGGCGGGTTAAGGTTATGTTATAAACGTACATTTTATAAGATGCGCCTATGCTTTAGGTATGTAAGTTGTAAAGTAAAAAATATTTTTGTAACTATTTTATTTTTATAAATTAAATTATTATGTATTAAAACCGATTCAGTATTTTTAAGGATTTCAAACACATCTTTGTCATTATTCAATTTCAGATCAACCTAGTGTTTCTTTTGAACATCATGCGAGTTCTAATCATCAAACTCCGTCAATCACAGAGTACAGAAATGGAGAAAGTGAGGTAATTACCATTTTTTTTATATAAAACAAATTGCATTTTCGATTATCCTATAAGTATTACGAACATAGATTTATTATGTCAGTAGAGTTAACCAAAATTATTAAATTTATTCCATAAAGACATCAATATTATTTTACTCAAACTATGTTTAATTCTGAATTGTTATGGTTATGTACAGACAAACAAAACTTAACCTAAGTAACGATAATTAAAATCTTATGTTTTTGTTTCTCAGGAAAGCGGTTCGAGCGGCACTTGTTCTTTTACCACTGCTGGGCATCACAAACATCTTGAACATGATAGAAACGCCCCCTGACAGCAGCGTTTGGAACTTTGGATTATGGAGCTACAGCACTCATTTCCTCCGATCATTCCAAGGCTTCTTTATCGCACTTATCTACTGCTTTATGAATGGAGAGGTCAGTAAAAATGCAACTTTTCAAATGTTGTTGCTGGCTGTTCTAGAGATCTATGCAACTCTATGCGCTACTCGTAATAGTTACAAGATTCTTTATCAAGCAAAATAATATTTAAAACGTTGAGATGAATATATAATTCTTCTTATCACATTGGATCATAACAATATGTGAATTATTGTCCAAGTCAAAAAACGCCAAACAAAAGTTCATCCTTTCAGTTTTAGTACTATTGAATTCACATCGAAAAAGGTCAGAATATTGACTGAAATCAATACTGCGAGAGCCGACCGAAATGTGTTTTAGACTACTCAAGCCATGGTAAACATACGCATCGATTACGTGACGTCATACTTGCCAGACAGATTCAATTGTATTAAGTATATTATAGTAAAAAAATCTACCTCCAATACAACATACTTGGTCAAGTTGTGCATTGTCCACATATTGATATTTATATTGTTTATTTATTCATAATGTTACCGTAACATACATTTTAAGCTTATTGTTGGAAGATATTAGAGAAACCGTTTTTTTATGTTTTAGTATATATGCAGCCTTTTGCATAAAACACGAATTTTCTTAAGTTTTGAATATAGCACGGAAAACCTTTGTTAAAACGAAAAAAAAAAATACCGGGCGTCGTTGAACACCTCGGTGTTCCCGCTGCTCGTTTGCCCCCTTCTGTTATAAAAAAAAATCCCACTCAATATTTTTCATAATATTTCTTACTCACATCCGGGACTATAGAGAAATAGAGACAGACCTAATATAGTCTTTCAAAAGTAATTTAAATATTTCTTTTATGTCAAATGCCTTTATTTTTTAATAAGACATGTCGTGAATGACCTTGGCTAGTCTTTTGTCTGCAGACCGCCGTTGTCATTATATTTGGGACAGAGCAGTGAGCTCTTGACTGAAGTGCCCTAACGGCGGCAACCTCTCACCTGAGCTCAACTTAGAATGCCCTCACTTATCTAGTTACAATCACTTGCAATACGATTTAAAACTTCTTCTTAATAAATGACGTTTAAATTATCTTAGTTCAGGAGATTAAAGGAGAAAATTTATTTGTATTTTGTTTCGTTTTAACAAAGGTTTTCCGTGCTATATTCAAAGTTTAAGAAAATTCGTGTTTTATGCAAAAGACTGCATATATACTAGAATATAAGAAACTGAAATGAATCGTGGCGTATCTTAAGTAGTCAAAATAAGTTCAAGCATATATAGAAACCATTCGTATTTTATTACTAAGATGAAATTTATTTAAAGGTTCGCACGGTGGTGAAGAAACATTACGATGATTATATGAGCATGCGAGGTCCCCGGCCTGCCCGAGTCTCCAGCTCTGTGGAAAGATCCCGTAAAGAGTAAGTAAGAAGCAGAAACCTTTATTGCCAATAAAAAAACCTTATTCCTTTAAGTACTAAAAGTAGCAAGAGTAGACCATATTATAGTTTTCCTGTAAATAGTTTAGTCTAAATGCGCCAACGTGGTTACTCGTTTTTGAGAAAAATGACTCTTTAAACTATCTAAGTAGCATATCCCTTCTATCAAAGAAATACAACTAAACCGGATACAGTTTGCTGTACTACAATAATTGCAATTATCAAATTACAGGAGTAAAATTGAGGGCGAAACTTCATCGTGGGTACAAATGAGAAAGTTGAAGTGGAAACGCTCATCCAAAGAAAACAAAGAGGTGTCAGTTACCGAAATGGGGCCAGAAATTAATCAAGAGTAAGTGTATGAAAATAATAAAAAAAACTTAATAAAGCCTATGCGTTCTTCCAGACCATGTTCTGCATGTATACCAAATTTCAGCGAGATCCATACAGCCGTTCTGGAGATAACTTCAAACAAACATCCATCCATCTATTCATCCAAACGTTCGCATTTATAATATTAATAACATTGGAATAACTACGTATTTCAGAAAGGAAAAGAAGAAAATTGAAGTTATTCCGGCCTCTCCGGAAAAATTGGAAACTGACGAAACTGTTGAAAACAATATTATAACAACAATAGCTGAAATCAACGCTACTGAATAAATTAACATGTAAGTTAAATAAATACCATTTATAAGTATACTAGCTGTCGCCCACGACACTGTCCACGCGAAATTAAAAAAAAAACTAATTAGTAGCATATGCGTTCTTCCGGATTATGTTCTATATGTATGCCAAATTTAATCGAGATTCGTTCAACCGTTCCGGAGATACCTTCAAACAAACATCCATCCATCTAAAAATTTGCATTTGTAATATTTGGAAGGTTTTTTATACATTTTCAATACGCGAACACTAACTTCTTATATATTTTTTTCAGGTTTCAACTGGCAAGATGTTACACATCATTTTCCATTAAATTTAATCATAATTATAAAATGTCTATGCGACTGCTTAAATTAATTTGCGTATATGTTGTAGACGGATTATAAGCCCTTTTATTATTTAGTTTAGTCATGTCATTTCTAACTTGGGTAGAATTTCAGCCCCGAGAGTGATGGCATAAATGACCTGACGACAAATAACAGCCAGGATCAGGTATGGATGTATGACCACACTGAGAGACACCTTATCATTACATGACCTTGAGTGCGGTAATAAAAGAACAAGAATACTCATCAAGAGACTTTCTGTTGTAACATTTTCATTTTACTTTACTTATTTTAATTATATTAAATTAAAATGCCGTTACTATTTATTTTACTTAGATAAATAATTTCATCATGATTCTACGCTATAAGGGAAACGTACGCTTTTGATGTATTCATATTGATGTTTTTAAATTTTATATAGGATATAAGATTTTAAATGTTTACTGTTTACTGATGTTTAATATTTACTATATGTCCTATGGATAAAAAATAGTATAATACACAATAGTTCAAATGGCCCAAAGCCGTCAAAAATCCCCTACAAAAATCAAACAGTGGAACTTCACTGTAGTCAATTGTTCAATCGATATTGATGTCCCTTTCATTCTCTTTGATAAAACAGAGATATACTACGATCAAGAATTTTCATAAATATCTCCAACACAATAGTAATAGCAGATGCGTTATGCCTGTTTCACTCGAGAGTAAAACAATGGGGCAGAAATTTTTTAACAACCAAGACAGTCAAACAACTATTCCACCATTAAACCCTTCTGACGAAAAGAGTTGCATCTTGTATGATGTAACTTTTTTCGTCGTATGAATGAACTTGGTTGTACCCAGATACATTATTAATATCAGTTTCTACTGTCGAAACACTCGTACAAAATAATGGTTGGCATAATGTTTTTGCCTGTGCATTCGGCAGTGGATATCCAAACTTCACACATATTTTTTAAGGTAAACTGAAAATTAGATAGGAAATACTCATTATTTACTAGACATAAGTATAGTATTATAGTTCAATAGAGTACAAAGCATTACCTCAATTTTTTTTATTTATTGGAACTTTTACTGTAACATCCTTTTCCACTAGCTTGATAATTCGCGTACCTGTGACGTAGCTCAGTGAAAAAAAGGTCTAATTGTGTTTTCTATCTCTATTAAAAAAAATTAAATTTATAAAATTTTTGTCACCTTATTGAGTTTTGGAAGATCGAAATAGTACTTAAGATTTTTGTGTCAGAGTTATATTTCTAGGTAATACAATGTCTGTATATTTTGATGATAATTATATTCAACAGCATAATAGGTTTTTGTCTTCTAAATCTATTTATTTAAATTACTCTTTTTTAACTCATGTGTGTCTATTTTTATCATGTTTATTGAATTATACCTGCAATTTATTTGTACTTCGATTATGTATTTCCTAAACATATATAATAAAGAATTAAATGTATATTAAGGTAAAATAACTTTTATGTCAATAAAAATATTAAACGTCTGTGTGTTTTATTTCAATTATAATGTTGATAATTTCTTACAGACAAATATCTTTTTAAATTTTTTTAAAAAATAAATAAATGAAAAAATTGTTTTGATTAAAAAAATGTATTTTACACTTATTTAAATACAGCATGAAACATTGGAATGAGTATCATCTTAATAAATAAAATTAACTTTTTTTGACGTTACATTTATTTTTTACATTTAAAAATAAATGCCACAAAATACATGCTTAAAAAATGGAATTTTCATTACGAAAGAAGTTTGAACATATTATAAAAATATACGTCTACCGACTGTAATTCCAAGATATGTTTTTTGTTTTAAAATGCCTAATTTCATGTACAAGATGGCGTAAAATAAGTTACATTTTCTTCTTTTACATGCACATAGTACCTGAGCTAAGAGTAAATATCATAATTATAATTTGATATTAACACGTTGAGCGTCACGTCAACCATCGATGGCTGACAGCGTGTAACACGAGAACTTTAAAATTTTACACTATTTTGCGTTAAAAATGTAAACTATTTTGTACTGCGATCGGAAACACCGGCCCTTTAATACCAGTGCGTATAAGCGGCGCTCGTGACCTGAACGGGATTATCTTAGAAATACGCGTGGCGCTCAACGTGTTAAAAGAAAACAATACAAAAAAAATCTTAAAAAAATATGCGTATTTATAGACATCAAAATTACCTACATTTGAAGGTTTTATAAAATTTTTATGAATTTCAAACTTTAAAATGATGAATTCCAATAATCTGTACAATAAAATAATTAAATTGAAAATCCAAAAAATAGTTGTATAAAATTGCTATACAATATAATAAAATTTTAAAAAATATAGTTGTTTTTTAATAACGTTGCATTTTATAAATTATTACTACCCAAAAAAATATGAATTCCAATTCAATACTATACAAAAGATTTAAAATTAAACAAAAATGGAAGACATAACTAACTCTTATACAAGTTTTGGTTTAATTAAAAATAAATTAAAAACTAACTTCATATTTTTAGTTTCTGTATAAATAAAAAATCCTAAATTAAGAAATATTGTTTAATCTATGGAAATAAGCTTATTGCTTATATTTAAAATTAAAAAAGAAACAAATCATCAGTAAAAATCTTCTAAATAAATGTAAATTACAACAGAAGTTACTATGATTTCTTACAAACTAACTTTAAAAATCAAAATAATCAGTCTGTACTCTGGTTTCGGAATGGTAACAAAACGATTAACTTATTTTAAACGTAGGTTTCCACTACCGAAACATATTTCTGTTGCAAAAAAAATCTACTCTTATACAGGTATACGGTAGTGAAAACGAACAGTAACAATATTTGGCTCTAAATTACTATTTTGATATTTATCCCAACTTCCTTACATAAAAGGAGGAAATTGAAAAAAAAAGATAGTATAGAATTAATATATAAAAACAGTTAAGAAAAAAAAACAGAGGAATTGATAACCTTCTTTATGTAGTTACCACATAGATTAAAGAATCTTAAATCGGTAAATATTGATGCCTACTACATTTATTATTTACTATATTAGTTAAAAAAAATAAAAAAAAAGAACACAGCTCAGTTGAAAGTTAGAAAAGGTTTTATCGAACATTTAATATTCGATCCTACATTATAATAATATTTAGGTTTTTCTATAACAATAACATTTACTACGAATAAATATAGTAATTATTTTAAAAATAACTTGGAAGAAGTTATTACTTAACTGAGGTCCTCTTTGATGGTTGAGTTTTTCCCTTGCTGTATATGATGTCTAGGAAGAGTCCTGAAAAAAAAATAGTATTGTCATATTATTTAAATAATCTCGATCAATTACACGTGAAGTAAAACATGTTTTATGCACCATATTCTATGCTTAACTCAATTTATAGGTGAAACTAAACTGACAAATCTTAGTAATCTTACTAATATTATAAATGCGAATGTTTAGATGGATGGATGGATAGATATTTATTTGAAGGTATCATTCGAACAGCTTCTTAGATCTTTATGAAATTTAGTACATATGTAGAACATAGTCTGGAAGAACACATATGCTACTTATAATTTTTACTAATTCCGCGCAGACAGAATTGCGGGCGACAGCTAGTATTTTTTTAATTCCTTCTTAATTATAATGTTACAGACAGTAATAAATGAATACTAACCAGAGAAAACAAGAATAGCACCAATCCATTGACGGCCAAGCAATACATTGCCAAATATAATCACGGAAGCCAGAACGGTGAAGAATTTCCTGGTTGTGGTCACCACCGAGCATGGCAAAGGTCCAAACTCTGCCACCTGAAATTATTATTATAAAATTTTGTATACAAAATTCTCATGTCACAATGTTAGTTACCATACTACTCCGAATCGGCTTGATCAATTGTTATGAAATATTATATGCATATTCTATAGGTCTGAGAATCGGCTAGTATTTATTTTTTTAATCCTGCACAGACGCAATTGCGGGCGATAGCTAGTTATGTACAATAATTAATTCCTCAAGGTTTTTTGTTTGGGTAAATATCAATTAAAAAGAGAGAAAGTTACTGGCAAATCATTGGGTTATCTTACAATTTACAGTTAGTACTAAAAATAAATTATTTTATTTTTACTGTACTTACCATGAAGAATATGAAAAGTTGCCCCAAAGCACCCATCAGTGCAAAGCTGATCAAATAGACCAAAATCTCAGGATACTGTGTCACAAATGCTACAAATTTGAATATTTCTCCACTCAATAGGACACCGACCGAGGAAATAATAGTTGACCTAGAAGAAATAACAATTGTCAGTTTATTCAACAAAGTATTCATGAAATATTTATCTTACTAATATTATAAATACGAAAGTTTAAATGAATGGATAGATGTGTGTTGTTGTTAGGACACGTCTCCAGAACAGGTGAAGAGATCTTGCTGAAATTTAGCTAACATATCCGAAAGAACACATATGCTATTATATTTTTTTTGACTCCGCGCGAACGTATTTACGGGTGAGGCAACCTGCACATATTTGTGATAAAATTTAAAGATATGTGTGAAGTCAACCAACCCGCAGTGGGCCAGCGTGGTTGAGTATGGCCTAGTCACCTCTAAAATACGCAATAGGGGGATCAGGGAGATCCTATAGGAGTTGATAGTGAAAATAAATATATTTTAAAGAATAGGTTAAGGAAATATTCATAAAGTTTGTTTTATATTTTTAACTTACCACCAATTTGTATTCAGCATCATTGAGTATGCAGTTGGAGATGATTCACTCTTTATACGTTCCTGGAATCATATAAAAATAGAATTTAATAAAATGTATTCTTCATTTTACTGATTTTTTTGCTATTTTACATACAACAAAGTATATTAAAACATCAGTATATGAAAAGCCATTTTAAATTACATATTCAGCCTTGTTTTATATTATAATAACATATCAGTTATTCATATGAATAGTTAACATATATTATGGTTATTAATCGCACTGAGGACGCCCTCTGCCCCACTACGGGGACATAGGACTTTAAGTCAAGTAAGTAATGACTGAGTACAAATGCATAGCAGAGATACACCTACTTGCAGAGATCATAAAGTCATTTGATAATATAAGATGTTTACGCTAACATGTTCAGTTTACAAATAACAAACTTCATCAAAACAATGTTTCATTGCACAGCCCAAATATAAAAATCCAAAATATAAAAAAAATATAATAATTGCATTTTGGAAAAACTTAAATTTTTAATTTTACTCTATATCTTACAATTTTCACAAAAATATTGTATTCTGTCAGTTATAGTAGTACACGTTGCAAATTATATTTTTACACAAGCAACATAAAATTAAATGAAATGAAAATAGAAAAAACATTTTTTACCACACATTAAAGAATAAATTAACTTATTAAGTATAATATACAAACTAAAATAAATTTAAATATAAATCCAATTCGCAAACCTCCGGTAATTTTAAGTGTCTACGCTAAACTAAATACTGTGTAAATAAAGATCATACCTGCACAGCACCAGTCAGCCCATCCATGGTTAAAGAAACAAGAAGCAGAAGTTCTCCAATACCCATGCCTTGAGATTCATCAGTAGTCTTTTTGGCTTGATCTTTATACATAAATAGTGCAACGCCAATAACAATCAAAAGAACAAAAAGATATTTTTTCAGTGGGTATGATTTACGTCCTAATAATACACCAAGAATCATCACCGGTATAGGTTTTGCAGCTTTGCCCACCACCTGTAAATATAAATAAGTTTTTTCTACAGACTTAAAAATTTCTTGCATCCATTTCCATCATTAGGATTTTTATAGGCAGAAATGAAATGATTTTGGGTCATCCATCAAAAACCAATACAATAGAGTAAATGCCTAACAAATATCAGAAGTAGCGGTTAAAATTAAACTTGTTACTTTGTTCAATAATTAAATAATGAGATTACCTGTGTTGGATAATTTACGAACTGCAGAGCCATAACTGAACAAAGCATCGCTAAGAGGTAAGTTAATGCTGATGAAAAGTAATAAACAGTTCTTGTTGTATCTTTTTCATGTGTCCATGATACCTGAAATAAAAAACAAAATAATTACAAAACCTCTTGTGCCACTACCTTAAACACAGATTATATAGACACAAATAAAAATAATTGTATGTCAGTTAAAAATACTTAGTAACCCAATGTTTAGTGATGCCACACTCATGAACAACTACAAGACTAGAGGAACTGCAGATACATTTCCCGCTTTACAAAGTAATATAATAGTTTGACTAGGACGTAAGCGTATTAAGCTTAACTTATTTTGGTTAATCATTCCAAGCAATAGAGAATGACTAGTTATAACTATTTCAGATTAAAAAAAATATATATATTGAAAATGTATAAAAATGAAGTCTTATATTATAAAAAGTATTTATAGTGGTGATTAGAATAATGATAAGAAGAATAATTAGTGACCGTACTTACCATCAATATTTGAGCAAATAAATAATTTACAAAAGACTGAATCAAAACCAGGGTCAAAGCGCAAGTGAATTTATCATTCTCCCCATATTTACCCCTGGTAATTTTTTCTTGTAGCATAGCAAAAATAAAATAACATATAAATATAGCACCAGCATAAAAAACGAATCTAATTTCACTTCTTGTTTTCATCATTTTGTAAACCTAAGTGGCTTTCTGTAGTAAAACTCTAAATGTGACACGTTAGTATGCTACAGTACTACTAGTTCAATGGACACGTAGGAAAAGTTATTTTATTTTGAAAATTTAAAAAGTACAAGAGCAAATGCAATAACAACACGTATCCGTAGAAGGAAATATCCGTCAGAGTACATACACGTGTTTATGTATAAAGTGGAGACGCGACAAATCGTCAAACTTCAACGTCAAGGACAGTCTTGCCAACTTTTGACTTCTGTCAAAAAAAAATTAGCCACAGATATTTTTTTTGTTACAAAAGTTAATTTATAATCATAGTTTCCATCTAAGAGACAATATTGTAAAATTTATTTGAAAAAGTATAATTTTAAAATGAATACTACATTTTATTAAATTATGATCAATATTTATTAAAACTTTAATTAAATACTTACCTTTATTACAAACTTTCCTAATGTTTTAATAACAACTTTTGAACGCTTGCCTATAATTGTACATTTTTATCGCCTATAAAATACAGACAAAAGTATTTGTGTTAGATACCCAGAGGGACAAACTTACGATTTTATATATATCAAACAATTTACATTTTGTGGCTTTTTATTATTTTCTCTTCTTATTCGTACAAATTCGAAAGCTTGGTCCTAATATTGATCGCGCTACTTTTCAAATTTTGATGTTGAGTTACGTCTAATTTTGTAAAAACGAACAAGTTACTATTGTATCAATAAAAATACTAAGGTATTATGTTATACATAACATATTAAGTTAACTGGCTATCTATTGGAATAAATAAGTTTCTATGATTTTTTCTTTATTTTTTGGCGTCCCGAATCCTTAATGTTTATGTTATTAAATGAAATGTTTAGTTAAATAGGAAAATTGTAAATTAAAATGCTTGTAACCATAATTACCGTTCGAAATAGTTTTAATTTCAGATACACTAAAGTGGTGTAAAATGGAACGCAAAACAAGTGTTGAAAGTTGTTTTATACTAAAAATCGACTTTAAACCCTTGGCACAGGGTTTATTTTAGATTAAGAAAATAATGCCTTCAAATCTAACAAACAATGTTAGACCTATAATGCAGATATGCACTTAAAAGGTTATTTTATAATGTTTTGTATAACTTTAGTCTGACACTTAAGTTCCGTTGTAAGACATTATTTTGGAGGCGAAAATTCCAAAACATGAACTTTAAAGTTATAAATTCAGTGTTTATATTTTAACAAAAGTGTTACTTAGTTTATCACTTTGAAGTTTAAAGTTACTTCTACTACGTACGCATAATATAAAGTATGTTTTAGTTTGTCCATGATACTTTTTGTAGGTTTTGAAGTGACGTCATATTTATACACTTTAAATATATTAGGTGAAATATTTAAATAAGAACAATTTGAAGACTTTAGAAAGGTTATACTTAAAATAAACTAAGAGGAAAATGCGGTAAATTCAAGTGAAGAAACTATTTCAAAGTTATGACTCATAGTTGGTAAGTGTTGATTTTGTTTGAATTTAATTTTATGGATTAAATTATTTATTTACTTCGACTAATTGAAATTATCTTTATCTTACTTATTTCTTTTTAATGCTATGATTTAGGTTTGTTTACATGCAAGAAAACTTATCACTAAACCGGAAACGCCCTAATATCGTCAGACAATGATTCCCGCTTTTTATTTAAAATTGGAATATAAGTTAAGAAAACCCCAATATATTTTGATATTAAGAAGGTTTTAGTATGTTAAGTACTTTGTATCATGTCGGAGAAGAAACTATAAGAAATATTATAAACTTGAAACCGTTACGCATGCGCTGTATTGCGTAGAAGTAAATATAAGTTTTATTACTCATATTTCAGTATCTATTATAATATATTGTATAGCTCATATTTTATAAAATCTTGTTGTTTTGTCTCGCTCCGTGAAAAAACTGAAACCCCGACATGATTTTAAATTGCAAATGTCATCGCCGTTTGAGCTCACGGCTAAATCTAAAGTCTCACTCGTTTACAAATAAGATAAAGAAATATCTATATGTATTGAATATTTACGTAGTAAAACGTGACCGTAATGTGTATATTGTAGTCATAATAGAGGTAATGTTTATTTTTGCAGTTTCATTTATAAGTAGCAACAAATATATAGAATGCTTATTGTAACATCAATAAGTTGATTTAATTATTTATATACAAAGGATAATATATTCAAAATGTTACGAATCAATAAAATATAATGACATTAGGGTTGGCAAGTTGGGAATAAGTGTACTCTTATATGCAACTTGCCTACTAAAGCGTAAGGTGCCATAACGAAGCAAAAGTATTAATTAAATTAGTTTATCTTATTGTTAAAATACAAATCCCACTACATTCAATTTTTAATACCATGTGAGTAAGATAATTAATTTTTAGAATTCAGTTCTAAGTTCTACGAAATTTCCTTTAAAATGTTCCTAATAAAATGATATTGAGGCCGAAGTCTCAAATCGATTTACAATTTACATTAATTTCAAAAAAAGATATACACAATTTATTGAGTTGAATTGAAGCCATTTGGCGGTTGTCCTATCAGAATGTAGAATACAATTCTAGGTCAGTCCATGCGACCAACGAATAAGCCAACCTCTAAATTCGGCAGTATAATAAATATATAGCCAAGTCGAAACTCTACCGAAATCTGTACTTGTAAAAAAGTTAAGGAACTGCGCAACTGGAGCTTAGCCAAAGTAAAGCTTGACGAAATTTCTTTGTTAAATGATCAAGAGATTTTTATGGAAATTACATTTTGAAATAAAAATTAAGATTGCAGTATCATCTTTATGTCTCCGATACGTCTTTTTTAGTTGCATAAATCATTTAAAAAAATATTAAATAATAAAACTGAAATATTGAAATAAAATATTGCTATAAACATACAATTTGTTGTGTGTACGAAATTATATAAGTACCAATTTTATCGATGAATTTTGTCAGTAGATACTTCATGTGTAATCTTCATTCGCCGCACCTACGTTATTTTCAGGCTATCTTATCGGAATTTACAAACATTTGGAGTTGAAGATTTGAAAAAAAAACGTTTAAAATATTCCAAAGGTTCGACAACGGGTAAGAATTTTTTTTTAATTGTAATTCTCAGAGAATTTCTTCAGTCTGAATCATTTACAAAAAAAAGTTACTCTGTAAATCTATTAAAGATTGGTAATATAATAAAAATATTATTGTATAAATTTAATTTTAATAAATAAAGACCGAATGCAATTAAACAAATATCCTGCTCGCAAAATGTTTTACGGAAAAACAGCACAAAGAGTTGTGTTTGATTAATTTATTGACTTGTTTGTTTTCCATCGAATGACGTTTAACACGATTGGTATTGTGATGAAAATTCGTTTCGGAACAAATAATTATGTTTCATTTACTTTTTTAGGTAATTAATTCAATTACGATGTCATTTTTGTGAATGCTCCCGTGTTCTGCCATAATGATAACTAATAATCAATTAATTTTTCTGGAATACTATGAAAGATGATAACAGTATTGACCTACTAGTGTTGTTTAATATGATATCCATCCACATCCAATATGTTATCGATTCGCGTAATCTTTGTTTGGTAGTAATTAATTTAAAAAGGTAAACATTTAATGCCAACATATCATTTTAAGGTTAACAGTAATAATAGCAGAAATGCAAAAAAAAAGATTTTTAAGTTGTATTTCTAAAAAAAAATATGATTTTAATATAATAAATTAGAACTGATTTATAATTTAATATTTTGTAAGTAGAAAAAATACATTTTCACAGTTTGTTAGCAGTTTCAAAGGGACGGTAAAAAGTCTAACGTAATTAATTAAAGAGAATTTAGCTGTGTACACTTCAGTTTTCTCTACGAAAAACATATTTTACATAACATAGCAATTTAAGTTGTGAAAATTCTGACAGCAACATAATAATTGTTAACGCGTCCAATGTCAAGATTTCCACTTATTAAAGTGAACTCGCAGGTAAAAACCTATTAAGTAATTAGCAGGAAAATTGTACAACTACCATAGAAAGGTCAGATCAATTACTTAGCTTTATTATATTCTTTATATAGCTTTATAATATGTATAGGAATTCGAAAGTAAATTTAAAGAAAATAGTCAGCACCGCAGTCGCGATAACCTCGTATCTGAACCTTGACGGCCAGTAACTTGACCCTCTCCTTCTGAACAACATTGGCGTTAGCGAAGCGATGTACCTTGTATGCGACTGTAATTCTAGTAGGTATAACGTTCAGGTTTCATACTTGCTATGGGACTGCGCACATTGATATGAAGGTTAAAGCATCTGTAGTCTCGCTACTTTATAAAGACAAACATCAGTGAAAGCTTAATTATTATAAAGATTTATGAAATGAAATTTCAATAATATCCTTTTGTTTCAGATGTTAGTGAATACTGATTTCGTCTTTAGCTGATAAAATGAATGACAATAGCAAGAAAAGGTCGAATAGTTTTCGTAAATTATTTCCAAATTTATTTTTCAACCATCGTTCTAAAGAAAAGAATACGAACAAAGAATATGGTCATAAAAATGTAGCAGAATTACAAGCGAATAAAAATCAATATCAGAACCCCCGAACTTTAGTAGATAAAAATACATTTATTCAAGATTCAGGTGCCGCGGAAGAACGGATATATGAAAATTTGTCAGCGACCCATAGATCGGGAAACGATCGCATTGTGGACCTTTCAAGCAATCACTCTTCTAGCAGTACGTTAGTTTCAGATAATGTCAAAAAAGATTTCCCAGACCAACCTAAGAATGAAAACTTTTATACTACTTATATGGCCAGACCTCAAGTACCGCCAAAACCTCAAGGCGAGATAATACAATCAACATCACCCAGGCCACAAAAGATAAATGATTTTAACACTACCCAATATCCGGACGTATATTACCATTCGTTAGAAAAACTAATAGATAAGATAACACCACTTGATGAAATTGAAATTTACAAAGCATCACAAGCTCAAGCAAATCCAGCATCAGTCGGCGCTGAAATTAAAAGAGTAAGCACAAAATTCCTGATTTCGCCAAAAAAGGAAGCTGAAGTACGAACTATACAGCCCACAAGAGCGCGAAGTCTTTCATTGGACAAAAACAATTCTCATAATATCACCAATCAAAATAATGACCCTGCACGAAATCAAGATTATGTTAAGAAACCTTATAATTATTCTGCACCGACTTCACCAGTTGCTGTGACCCAAAAAAGACCCAACATTCCTAAAACAGTTTCTCCTTATGGACACGTTCGAAAAACAATGTTGGAAACAGAACAAAAACGAAATTCAATAAGTAGATCAAGTCTTGGCAATAAATCTACACCCTCACCTAGGCCCCAATATCTGGATATAAGCAAACCTCCTACTCCTAGAAGTAGCAGCGGAGATAACGATAAAGAGAAGACGCGTCAGAAAATTGAAGCTTTTTATTGGCAAAAGCTCAAAGAATTGAAAGAAAAAGAAGACGAACATCTATTAAAGCAATCTTTGGATAATATATGCATATCGCCACAAAAATTTAATACGGTATACTCTAGTTCCAATTGCAGTACACCGAGTTCTTTTGTAACCGAACCAAAAAGTTACAGTTTACCGCGAGGGCGGGAGTTGAATTACAACATGGCCCAACCAATTTACGCACTTCCACCTTTTGTGAGAGGCGCTCCAGAGCGGCGGACTGATTCATTCATACGAAATCACACAGCCGACGCGGATACGGACATCGTGTATAGACAAATGCAAAAGTCTAGTTCAAGAACTACGTCACCTGTAGTTAATAGACAAATGCCGATTTTTCAACGAGGTTCATTAACCCCAGACGGAAGACACAACATTTATCAACCGAAACGAGTGAGTTTCGAAGAGCAGTACCCTAAGACTTCTCTACCAAATAGCAGTGATGTTCCAAAAAGTGTTGCGTTAGATGTGAAGTTATCGAATGACAGTTACAAAATATTGAGTGCGCGAAATGCTTTGTTCCCAAGTAAAATAAATAATTCGGGTACTCGGGACTATGGAACTCCACCTAAACCGCCAGTTCGGACAACGAGTGTAGATAGTGTCGGGAAAACATATAAAATAATAAATAAAAACACATACTTACCACGTGGAAATCATTCAGTGTACTCGGAATCTGAAAGTGGTTCGGAGGCTGGGGAAATTCAAAAGATATTGCAGAGAACTTCACAGAATGGTAAGCATTTAAATTTTTTTTTATAATTACGCTTTTTCAGATATGATAAATGAAGCGAATGAATTTTGCGATTGTAACAAGTTCGCCTTTTAACATAATGTCTGTTGTCCAATATAACTACGGATAAAGGTTTACAGCCTGAAATGTTTGTAAAGTAATAAAAGCTTGGACATCGATAGGGATTTGCTTTCGCTCTCCGATGCAATTGGATAAAAAAAATCCTTTGATAAAACCACAGCGAGGTAATGAATATGAAAAAATCTATCAACATATTTTTGTATTCAAACATTCAACTTACATTCAGTTTGAATAGTAATATTGTGTCAGTTATTGTTTAAAATTTCGTACGTTGATATATTTTATTACTTTAAAGTAAATATTTCAACTGAACATGAAATAGTCATGATTACCATTAGAGCGTTTCTAGCTAAAAATAACATACGTTAACCAGCAATATCGCGATCCGGCCCCGCGATTCGGGTCAAGTGAATAAATGTCTGGTTTTACACTAGCCCATAGTTTTAGCTGGAAGACGTCGATTGAATTACTCCGCAAGTATAAATTTATGAACACAAAGAATCAACGAACCTTAAACAGTTTCTCTAGAAAAATATTATAACTTAAAAATCCGTCATGTACAATAGCGTTTATTTCATGAACTAGTTGAGCTCGTGAATAACTGAATATTATAAATATTTCGAGAAGCGACTGGTTTTTTTTAAAGTAAAATGCATAGTTTAATATTTTAAATAATATTCTTTTCCAGATAAAAGAATAATATAGAAAAAATGCGGACAGCATTTAGGTCGCGGATGTTGCGTTTTGTTCATATGAATCCATATTGCGATGAATAGCTTTTGTTTCGTCAGAATTATTCTATGCAGCTGTTATTGTGCGATATACAGATTTGTTTATACTTCGTGTAGTCGATCCAGTTTTTATTTCAACGAATAATAGAAAACGTATCAACTGCGGATATTATTTCAAATCTGTTCAACTAGTGCGTATTTATATTTGAAACGTTTTTATCATTTTAGCATCATTATAAACTAGCTGTCGCCCGCGACTTTGTTCGCGTCGATATAAAACACTTAATTAGTGTAGCCCACCCATCCATCCATCCACATCACATTCATAGAAACATTCGCATTTATAATATTAGTAAGTTAAATAAAAAGCAGCTCTTCAAGGCATAAATTCGAAAAAAAATAAATAAATAGTATCCTATGTCCGTCTTCTGGCTCTAAGCTACCTCCTCACCAATTTTCAGCCATATCAGGAAAGCCGTTCTTGAGTTATAAATAGTGTAACTAACACGACTTTCTTTTATAAATAGATTGTCGACACATACATATCATGTACCGTATCCGATACGTAGACTTAGGTGCTAAAATAAACAATAGAATGAAAAAATTGCCAGATAGTATTGTCAAACAAAAACAACGAACGTTAAACGATTAACGATATGCGATTCCAAACATGATGGAACAACAAAAACACGTCGTGTAGTGCTCACAATGTTTTACGTAGTTTATAGTTCCCCGTCCCCAGACACAGGGTAACAGAACACTGTTAACAGGCTGTCCACTTTCCACTGTCCACAATTGCTCATGTATATTTCATGTATGCAAATTTTAGTTACCCTTCTGGCAGCGCGCAAAATTTCCTCTGTTACCCTTTGAAACTTCTGCTTTGTGACTTTGTTTCGAATACATCAGTGCATGATAACGTGATTTTGTTCCAGTTTAGAACGAACAATTTCGTATTCATAAAATTTATTTACAAATATACATTATTATGATTATAATTATAAATATATAGAGTAAAAATTATACGCCATGATCTAAAAACTTTTGTACTTTAAATTATTTTTAAAAAATTCTATGAAAAAATATTCTTTTCTGATAGATCCAAGTTCATATAAGAATATCTTATACAAAACAAGGAATTCAATAAGTCCATCTTAGTATGTGTAGCTATTAGCATAAGTATTGCATAGTTTCGTGGATAACAATACATGTTCAATGTATTCAGACAGTAGTACTACAGCAAAGGATTGAAATAGAAATTGCTTTTAGCTTCTATTGCCTCAATTCAAGTAAAGCTGTTCAATTGTTTCAGTGGAAATCGATATTACATTTAGGACACAAATGGAAGCGATTCTACACAAAGATCGTCAATTAATTTTGTCTTTTCTTTATTCGAAATGGATTGGAAAATGAATGGATGGAAATTTCCTTGAGAAAAATTTAAATTTAAAAGGGAAACGATGTTACTCGGAAGTATTTTACGTTCAAACTCATTTAAAGTGCCAATCTTTTATTCAGGACAAGACTCTGCTTTTGTGCCAAAGAGTTACTTTGTTAGTATAAGAAATTGCATAAGTTGTATTGATATTCATTACTAGCTGTCGCCTATGACTCTGTCTGTGCAGGATAAAAAAAATAAAGCCTATGTATTCTTCCAGACTATGTTCTACATTTTTGCCAAATTTCAGCGAGATCCGTTTAACCATTCTGGAGATACTCGTACTTTCAAATAAACATGTATCCATCCATCCATCCAAACATTCGTATTTATAATACTAGTAAGAACTACAAAGAACTAGTTAGAATTAAGTCAAGATTGAGTCTATCTGTATATGTTTAAACCTATAGTTTTATTTTATTGCAACAAATAGAAAACCACAATGCATACATATGTGACACTTACTCGTAAATTAAAATATTTAATAACACGTCGAAATATTTAGCGCTAAATGCAGTTGGAAAATTATTTCGCAAACAATTGAAAGTTCATAAAACGTCGCGTCGTCTGAAGTCAACGTGGTAAAGAACAATTAATTATTATTTCTCTGAACAGTCGTACAATGCAGTATGGCGCATCTATTGTTAGCCGTATTATACGGAAATTGTTACAGCTAGTAAGCTCTGCGGAAAAATATCAATATACTCGTATAAATATCAATGTATGTTTGACTTTCTGTATATATAAAATATGATGTATATATTCAAAATTATTCACTTATCTTTTTAATACTATATATGCGAATGTTTAGATGGATGTATGTTTGATGAAATTAAGAATACATATATAACATAGTGTGGAAGAACACATAGGCTATTAATTATGTTTTGTTTTAATTTGCGAGCGACAGCTAGTCTTTAATGTAATAGCTATGAAGGAAATAAAGAGATCTCATTATTCTTTTGTAAAGGTCATGAATGCTTATGTTTATTGTTTAAAAGTAACATAAATATTATTAAAAACTGGTATTAAACTTTTTTGCCCCTAAATTTCGGATCTAACTGATAAACGAGTCTCTGGAGTGATATAAAGGAAGCGCGCTGCCCTGGTCCAGGAGGGTGGGGGGGCGCGGGGGGGATTCCCACCAAATTTACCAGGCTTTTTTAATTCAAAATATCTGAAGCTTGCAGTTGTATCCATTTCCTACAAATAGTGGTAGTTTGAGAACGAATCCATTTTAAATTTTTCCTTTGCAAATTGATATAGATTTTATAATTAAAAATTAAATTTTAATAAATTAAATTTGTTTTTTAGATTATCATTGTATGACGTAAGTTAATTAACTAAAGAACGAATAAATTCTCCTTCCACCGACAAAGTTTTAACGTTATCCTCCGAGTCAGCTTTGCAGTTTGTTGTTGCAAAGTTGTTTTAAAGCGCATCGACTAGGACTTCAATAAATTAAATTTACGACAGTTTAATTGGGATTTTGTTGTAATAACTAACTATTATGTTATTTCTCTTGTTAATATTATTATTATTAAACTTGTATACGAAATGCGAGATAACAGTGGTGGAAGCCAGTAACAATTGCAACTGCAATTGTAGATGCCAATGTACGACGAACGCTTCGCCATTTCGGAGTATTAAGGTTTGGTTGTTTGCCACTTAACAATAAAAAAAAAACATACAGGGTTAATTCTATTATTTATAACAGTTGACCGCGACATCGTCTGCGTGGAATTAAAAAAAAATCTAGTTATAAAAATAGCCTAGGTCATGAGGGGATAGCTTCCCAACAGTGATTTTTTTCATATCGGTTCAGTACTTTGTGAGCCTATTTTAAATGCAAACATACAATCAAATTTTTCCCCTTTAAAATGTTAATATAGATACATTTATTATTATATATGGAAATATTTACACGAACTTTCAATTTTAATATTTAAGGATAACATTGTTGATAGAAACAAATGGATTTATTAATTCTTGCGATAAAGTACCTCTTGTTATGATTTCCATTGATTAAATTCCAAGTCAATTAAGAAAATTATCAAAAGCGATCCTTTGCGGGTTGAAACTTCTCATTTTAATTTGTACTCTGCGAAATTATAAATTAATTGAAATTAAATTGTTTGATAAAACATATTGATAACGTAACATTAACGGCAGCTGTTTAAATTTAATATTACTTATTGAAATGCAAATTGGATATAATCCAAAGTTATTCAACGTTGCAGCCACGTCTTGAAGTGAATACGGTTTGTATTAACATTTATGCAAAATACACTTCGGCTAACTGAATTTGAATATCGTTATACGAGCATATGCGACCCTTGTCTACCAGTTTCTACAATTTCTGTAAAGTTAAATCAAAATATTTTAAATTTAACTTCTCTTGTTTAATTTGTGACTTTACTTTTATCTATGTAACTATGTGATTCCTGTCTTTATGTCGACCGTGACTCCGCCCGCGTGGTATTAAAAGAAAAACTTAATATGTAGTCTATGTGTTCTTCCAAGCTATATTCTACATGCCAAATTTCAGCAAGATCCATGCAGACATTCTGGCGATACTTTCTAACATACATTCATTCATCAATCCATTTATTCATCCAAACATTGTAACTTATAATATTAGTAAGATTTACAAAATAAGATAATAGTATAATATTAAGAAAACAAAATGAACAAAATATTTCATAGTATTATAATATTTCTAATAGCGATTTAAATGGGAATTCATAAGGAGT